CGCGCAACCGTCCTGGTGTTGCCCTTGCTGCTGCTGTTGTTGCTGCTGCTGATGTTGCTGCTGCTGTTGCTCCTGCTGCCGTTGCTGTTGCTTTTCTTGCTTTTCTTGCTGTTGCGGCTCCTCCTGGTGAGGCTGCTGCAGCCCCGCACAAGCAGGAGATGCCGACCCCGTGAAGCGGCGCATGGACGGCCGCATGGCCGTCTGCGCGCTGGGGTCTACGCACACCTCTGGCTGGACCTGTGGGGATCGCTGACACCTCTGCGGCCTCTCAATGCTGAGCAGACCCACAGCTCTCTTGACGGGAGGGCTGCGGACTGACGAGAGGCTCCTTTTGGCGGTGCTCGCGTTTCGGCCCTCCTCGGCCCAGGGCCTTCGGCTGCTCTTGAGCGTGTGAAGGCAAACACAACACAAAAAGCTGCCCGCCACGGAAAGGAAAGGAGACAGACACAAAACACAGAAAGTGCGCAGTTGTACAGAACCCGCGCCGCCACCCGCTTCTTTAAGCTTTTGGTGCTTCCTCACACGAATCGCCGCCTCTTCAGCGCTCCTCCCGGGGCCCCTCACAGATGCTCTGCCAAGCTCCTTAGACGACGCACTGATGCTGCCGCCGCTGCTTCTGTTCCCGGTGGTGCTTGCAGTGGTGCTGCTGGTGGTGCTGCTGGCGGTATATGCCTCAAAAGGATCGGCAGCAACTGCTCTTGCGGTTGCTGCTGCTACGAAAACGCCCGAAGATACTCGGAGCTCTCCAGCCTCTGTACGTGGAGCAGGTGCTGCAGCTGCGCCAGACGCAGCAGCAAGAGTGTGACTGCTTGTGGGCTCTGCTTCTGCCTCTACAAAGCCGATAGTGGGCCGCTGTGGAGCGCTGGGGGTAATGGCTGTAAGGGTAGAGGGGCCAGCAGCATGCAACCCAAAAGCCAACACTCCTCTCATCAGCCGCTTCGGATCGGCAGTTATCCAACGGGCGAGGATGCTCTCAGGAGTGACGGCGTGGGGAGGTCGGCGCCTCGGGTCTATGTCGGCCCCTTGTTTGTTTGCAGCCAGCTGCAGCAACAGCTCCTTCTGCAGCAGCCTCAGTAGCCGTCTGCGTGGAGCAGAGAGGGTTTGGGCCGCTTCCAACTTCGAAGCCGCCCAACGCGGTGTCGATACACCGTAGTGCAATGACGCCTTTGCAGGGGCCGCCTTCGCTTCCTCGGCAGCCGCTAAAGCCCCTCCTGCAGGCCGCTCCTGTACGGTTTCTCCCACGGAGCCCACCATCATAAACAGTCAAGTAACCCGCCCACGGGCCTAGGTGCAGCCGCTCACGCCACAACGGCCCTCACCTACCAACAGCAGCAGCACCAACGCCTCCGACAGCCCCAACGGGATCACCGGTGGCAGCGGCAGCAGGAGCAGCTGCCTTCCAACTGGGCTTATAGGGCTCTGGGGCCGCGCCCCAACCTCAAGGCGCTGCTGGCACCTGTGAGGAAATATATGTGCCCAAAGACGCCACCTCTCCCATTTACTTGTGAGTAGAAGGGCACCTACCGACGAAAAAGAAGGCAAGGAATTGGTGCGAAGGGGAGAAGGAGTCCCACAGGTCGTCCTAGGCATGCAGAAAGACCCTAAGAGGAAAGTAGAGAGGAAAGGGGACAACTGGCCTTTAGCTGGGCCCGAAGGTGAAACAGATGCACGGAAGACTTAAGATGCAACTCAGAAGCAAGACAGTAGCCCCAGAGGGAAAGGAGCAAAAAATTATTACTACCCAGTCAACTACGAAAAAAATAGTATAATTTAAGTGGAAATAGAGAAAGACAATACGCAGCTGCCCACCAGCCACTCAACCCAGGGGCCCCACCAGACCAACACCTGGCGCAAGCCCCAAATTCCTATAGCGCGGCGGCAGACCGCTCACCCGCGGTCCAGAGCGCTGTTTGCACGGCATTTCTGAGCAGGTTCTATCGGTGTTTTTATACAAAAGCGGGTGCTAAGTTTTATTCCAGCAATCTTATTGAGCCTGATCCGTTAAGGCGTGAAGGGAAGAATGCTAGTGCTCAGCTTTCCACAAGAATAAGCGGCGGGAGCCTGTGCAGAGGGTGGTTCAGTGGTGGACCTGTGACAGACATGAAACATCCGTTTCAGTGCATACAAATGACTTGACATAGTTCCATCCACCGCTACTGAATTGACCATTTAGAGTGAATACTTTTATCAGACATCAGGAGGCCCTGCTGCCTTGTGAGTCTTCGTGCCTTGTGGTTGGGCTGGGGCAGCTGCACGTATTCGATAACTTGTCGCACACTCCGATTGAAAAGGAGTTCACAAAAGTGGATTTCAGTTTGTATTTCGAAAGATGCAAATCTTCGTTGCCTCCACGGAGAGGATGCAAATCGGCTTTGCCCCAGTGTTAAATACCCAGCTGCTAGTGTAGGTACAAAAGATTCTTCAACGAGTTGAGAGTGAGTTGCGCGCCGCCGCGAGCTGTGCATGAAATGTGCAAATGGAATCTCGGGAAGAACATGCACCAATGGTTGATATTTCTAGTTATGTGGGGCGTATTTGGGCCGCTGAGTTCAAGTGGAACGGTAGAAGCGGCTCGCGTCGCGTTGAGTCAGACGACAACAGCAACGGGGGAGGCTGCAACGACAGGGCAACAGCGAGCCACTTTCCTTGCGAATATGATAACCGCTCCTCCCAACATTGCACTTAAAGTGCAACCCGCGAGAACTCTTCGGTTTAGCAAGTCGCAGCTTAACGGACTCCTGGCCGACTTGAGGCATGAAGTGAAGTCGCAAGTACGCCAACATGCAGCACAACATATCTCTTCTGCCTGCCCATGCATTCTCCTTGTCAATTGTCTCATTCCTCAAGGTGGCTATTCTAGAGGGTAAGCAGCTAATGGTTTGACGGAACAAGTTAAAAATGAGCCTAAATGGGGCAAAATACAGGCGAAATGGCTGAAGAGGAAAGACGGCGACAAAAGACAGCTTCGACTTGGGCCACTCATGGCTCACCTATTTGGATACCTAAAGAAGGTAAAATCTGTCTAGCGAATGCTTTTTGTTTAGCCTCGCCTGTGGATTTTAGCCGTGGCGTATGTACAGCAGGGGCCTCGTCGGCAGGAGCTCCGGGAGCAGAAATGAGTTTCGTAAGTCCACAAGACAAGTAACCGGTGATACGTCATATTCTGCTGAACTACATTCATGTAGCTGCAGCGAGGATGGGGACGGCGGCCGCGGTTTGCTGTTGCGTTCAGCCCTCAGTTGCCGCTCCACTCCCAGCGAGCCTCCCCACATGGGTCCCTTGCAAGAGAGGTGCGCCTTGTGTCTTGTTCACAGCTGCCTGCCCAGACCTGTGTGCAATAACGCTGATAATATGCGGTGTGCCTACAGGCGGCGTTCCGCCATGCTGACGACGCAGCGACGCAAGCGGCTGCCGTTATCGAGGGTGAACACGTTTATACTCGGTGCCGCCTTCCCGCCTCCTCACAAAGAATAACAATTAGGGCCACTGAACATCAGAAGATTTACAGAATGAAGCCCTTGACGCTCTTGCATGTATGCACTCATTGGGGCAGTAGGGGTGTGTAACGAATGCCTTAATTACTAAATACGTAACAGGAATAAGCAAGTAGGCAAGCAAGCAGCTTACTGGATAAAGAACAGAGAAAGCACTGGCGGCAGCGTCTATCCTGATGCTTATCCCAGTCACATCTCCTGTGAGCACTGGGAAGGACGTAGAGAGGCCGAAGGCGGCTCTGACTGCATTTGCTCTTATGCCTTTGGATTTTACCCTGTCAGTCTCCCCCTGGTGGAATGTGGGAAGGAATGTAACGGGAGGGTTAGTGGTCCGTCGTTAGTCTGTTTACTTATTGCGGCCGCTACGTTGTCCGTTTAATAGGTCCTGCTGTCACATTTGATGCTTTGCCGTTCACTTTCTTCCTCTGTGTGCGAGCTGCTGTTGTTGCGGTTACTGGTGCTGCTATTGCGGCTGCTTCTATCGCACCCGTTCTGGCTCTTGCTGTCACTTCTGTTGCTGCTTCTGCTGGATTGTGCATATTTTGCTGTCGTGCCGAGCCCCTCTTACGGGCCTCGGATGTCGCATGTTCCGCTGGTGGTGCTGCCACTTCCCTTTCCTTGCTCTGAGCTATGTGGCCCAGCTGTTCATTTCCCTCCTAGTAGTGAGCTGGGGGGATGCTGGAGCCGTAAGGTATTGGGGCCCCTATTGCCATGGGTGGGCTGGCTTGGCCTCTGTGACCGGTGGCTCTGAGGCGCCTGACGTTGTGGCCGTTCGTGCACCAGATATATGTATAGTTGGGGGGTGTTTGCGCTGCTATGATATCCTTGCTACTCTTCTTGCTTTCTTGCCAGCCTTCAGAAGAGCCAAGTGGCGTCGTCTGTGCTGTGCGTCCCCTGTGCTGTGGGCGGACCAAACATCGCAGACGCAGACATCTATCTGTCGCCCCTTGATGCTGGCGTTGTGAACAATTTCCCCACTGCCGCAGCCACAATGATTGCTGCAATTATGGGCATATAACTTTTAAATGTGCAAAGGCCAAAGTGAGCTCCGAATCTGCGAACGTGGACATTCATGCTTCTGCAGCGCCAGAGAAAATTTCACATAAAACAACCAGGACGAGCGCGCAACCACCTGCAGCCCCAATAATAATTCAAAGAGGGTTACACAGAAAGCTCAAACTGAAGCTTGATTGTTGATAAGGAAGCTAGGATGACCCAATCCACCGAAATTGGCTGGCGTCCGATTGCAGTAATAAAACGAGTCCTCCCAAGCCTCACGAAGAGACGCACCCGTGCGGCACGGGGGAAATTACGGGGAAGCAATAAATTAAACAGAATAGGACGGGCAGCGCCTGCAGCGAAGTGTTCACCTGGATGGATCTCGTGTTCCGTCAAAGGTCGTTCGTCACAGCTGCAGACAGCGCAGCCGCCTCCAATCTGCGCACACCGTGGTGAACCCGCCCCACAGGCCATGCATTTAAATAGACCCTCGTTTTATTTTTAATTTTACGGGGAATACAATTAGCATGCTTTCTAAGACACGCACAGCGTGCTGTCAACCTATCAACATGAGTCGGGGCCGACGGCGGTGAACAGTGCGCTCCGATCGTCGACTACTGTTGATTCAACTGGACAAGAAGGGGAAATAAGCAAGAAAGCTGATTATTTGTTTGTATTTTCTTGTTTTGAAGGAAACAGAAAACGCATTCCTACGCCCAAGTCAACTTTCCTCCACAAGTGGAGGGGTACATGCGGCACTGAATTTCACATTTCCTTCCCAGGAGGTCCCCTATTTTCTTTCAGGCTCAACTGAAGCTCCTCATTCGTGTATAAATAATAGCGTCTTGCCCCGTAACACGATCATCGGATTCCGTTTGCTGGACAAGACGAGCAGTAAAGTACTGCCATACGCGGACACCTGTAGTCATATCCTTCACTTTACGGAGGGAAATCGACGGATTTTAGGGTTTTCTTGCAAGAAGAAGGTAGGCGATTAACGCTTGAATGAATTAATTGTCGCTGCCCATAAAATGTTCGTGAGGGACCGTAACAGCAGTATGCCGGCGCCAGTCGGGCCACAGTGGCGTGCTCTTCCCCAGCACACGAGCCCGACCGGACAGAAACACTCAGTTTAAACAATAAAATCGATACATTCGCTGGCGTAATAAAGCACGGAACTAATGCATGCAAGCATAACCACAAGGGCACACACGAGCACCGTGTTGCCCCGCTTCTGTGGAAATTCAGCATGTGTACACAGCTACCAAAGTGAATGCACAGATAAGCCAAATGCATAGAACACCCTAATAAGGGCATGTGGAAGCCTTCTTGCCCCACCGCTGCAAGAAAGGGCAGCTGGGGAGTGCCGTGCTGGCCTTCACCTGGATTCTCCGCGAAGGCTCTATGTTTACTGTACCTTCAAACATGTAATTCGTGTAGCCGTTTGCTCTTCCTCTTTAACTGTACGGCTTAAGGTGCTATTGTTTAGGTCGAGAGATTAAGCTGCCCTCACTTAATCTTTTCTGTATGGGCCTGCTTCCCATACCCACAGGAGGAGGGAACCAGCATCACCTGGCCCTTTTGATATTACTAATGACTCATACTTCCGGCAGCTCTCCGCTACATCGCTGGGAACGACTGAGCTTCCCCTCGAAAGACGTCTGCATGCCTGAAGTTTGAAAGGCCACTGCACCTTCCACCAGTTATGGCCGTTGGCAAGATAGTCGGCGACGAATTGCTGGATATTCTTGGCTTGGGCGGCGAGGAGGTACACTTGTTCTGTAGAACAAGACTCGCGCATGCGCAGCAATTCTAGTTCGTCTATTGCTTGCTGCATGTCCCGCGATTGCTGTTCGGTCAGTTCCTCGCCCAGCTCTTTCACAGCGGCCTCCAGCTTTTGTTTTTCTGACTCAAGAATCTGCTGCAAATCCCTCCGCGCCTGAATTTCCGTCAGAAGAGAAGGGAAGCACCTGACAGCATCTGCTTGGACAGTCCTAATAAGCCTCTCAAGCGGCTTTGTGAATTGAAGAGGGTTGGAAAAAAACGACGCTGGATGGATGGAATACAAAATCTTCTCTTCTTTTTCGTTTGCCTTGAGAAACAAGTTGCCGGCATCAGTGAACCAGCAGTGCTCCCCGCTCTGGTCCACTGCCTTTGCTAGAGCTTCCACCGCTAGCGCCAAAGTGATGGTCATGCGTAGCAAATGCGCTTCAATGCTTGTTTCTGTTCCTTTGAGTTGTTCTGCTTTCTGTATCGAGGCGCCCGTTTGAAGTGCCAGCTCCTCCATCACGTCCAAAGAGGAACCAAGGTTTCCTTCCCGCAGGAACAAAGACCAAAACATGCAGTGTCCGCGCCAATCACTGCACAGCTTCCGCATACCAATGCTCATCCGGGGGAAGTACTTAATGCATTCAGGAGTCAGGCCAAGCATTTCAGCCTCCACTAAATATTGTTCCTTTACCGGCATTTCTGTCTTCCGCGTTTCCTCCGCTTCACGCGCTCGTCCAAGTAGAACACTCATCTCCTCAGGCGATACTGCATCGAACCACTCTTCGTTTGCCTCTTCAGCCTGTTCAGGCGTTAATGCATCATGCCATTCTTCTGCTCCTTCATCTTGCCCAAGTCCTTCGGGCACGGGAGCTGCTGCTTCTGCTTGTACTGGTTCTTTTACTGCTGCATTTGTCCCGGAGACGGCTGGGCTTACAGGGGTGAAAATTCCCCTATTCTTAAGAGCCTTGGCTCCTTTGGGAGCTTCCTCAGCAGGACCCGACCCTGCTGCAGCAGCGGCAAGACCGGCTCCTGCCAGCCCTGAAGCACCTTCTGATTCCACTCTTGTAGATGGATTCCCGAGCCTTCGAAACCTCGGAAGCCTTTTAAAAAGAGCAACAGCTGCCTTTCGTGCTGCTCCTTTTGCCCGGGAAGCCTCGTGCTGTAAGCGTCGCCACAGGCGCTGTATCTTCTCTTTTGTGGCAACTCCCATACGGCTAATGGCCTTGCGGAGACGCTGAAGCCGACCAAGTCGCCGCTGCTTCTGTTGATGCCTTTTCCGTTGCCTTTGCGGCTCCTGCTGGGATTGTAACAGGCTGGGTATTTCGCTGTCCCTGCTCCACACGACAGAAGAGGCCGTCCTTTCCCTCCCAAGGGATAGGGAACGGTGACGCACTTCCTGATGGGCAGGCTCAGGGGAGCCGGACTCTCCAGGGGAGTTGAAGGTGAAAGAGGCGCTTATTGATGGAAGTGCCATAGAAAGAAAAGATCCGAAAGGGGACACCGTTCGGCCGCCACCGGGGCCTGACGGCTTGAGGGAGAGGAGTGGGGCAGCACCGCCATGATGATGTCGCGAATAAGTACTCGAGACAAATGCATTTACGAAAAAACTAAGTACGAACCATGAAAGTGGTAAGAAGCGAAGATGAACTGATGACACACTGCGCCGCATCGCTTAGAGAAATCGACCGTATGCGGCGATGCAAGGGAAACGTCGAACGGGGCGAAAAACAAACAATCCATGCGAATTAAGTAATACTGAAGAAGGTTCATTCCTAGCCATATCTCATGCCATGGTTGGACGTGGGGAAGCACAGTCAGGCCGCTCGGGTTCGGCAGCCCTTCGGTGTCCTGTGGACCGCGGTCCACTAACCCAGCGGTGCGCCGCCAGGAGGGTTTGACGCGGAATTACATAGAGATTAGAGATACTATAAAGGCAGGTTGTATCCTCCCACTCCTCTTAAAGTACGTTCTAGTTACCTAGTATCTTCTCGGGTGTAATCAATCCCCTTCAAACGGTCGGAGGGCAGGATTCACAGATCCAGTAGAAGGGCGGTGCCTCTTTTCTTCTGGATCCCTGCGTAGCAGCAAATGTCCAGCAGACAAACACCTGAATTTAATGTTTCCATTGCTCTGAATAACAAGTTTGCACGAAATATTTCTATTACCACAGCTCACAATCGAGAACAGCACTGCAGACGCGTTTTATCTCAGTTCGAGGCTCTCCGCCGGCATTCCAATCCATGACTCTTGGGCAAACACCAACACAAGATGAGTCTGATATATCTCGGCAAAACCACTTTATTGAGCTGTAAATAAGGGTTGCAACACATTGAATGGGTCACGGTACGACAATATCATCTGGCTCCAAGCGATGTTTACTTTCATAGCAGAGAAGGCGGTGGGCCTCCGCTCAGAATTCAGATTTCCCCTATGCACACCGTGAAAAAAATAACTTTAAAAGTCACTATGCAACTATGCTAACTTCTGAGTCCTCATTGCACGCGTGAGTATTTGTCATCATCCCGGCGCAGCCCCCTTCTGCTAGCCATTCCCCCCCCTTTCCGCCGCGTCTCAGCGGGGGCCGTTCATCCTTGCTGAGAATTGTAGCGAGCTGCAATAGAGTCGAGGACTTTTTCTTGTTTCCATTGTTCTCCCAAAGGCAGCTGAGTTTCACTCCAGCCCTCAGGTGTCCTGTGCACAGCAACCCAAAGCTTGGGACTGGTGCGCGAGCAGGCGGCCTGAGATGAGTTGCAAGGCACCTTACTCTGACTAGCGCTGCAAGGCGATCCGGAAGACAAGCGCAACCAAGCCGTCCTTTCTGCGTGCACTATCACTGTGAACAATTGCTGAGCACTTACTTGGCCCTAAGTAGCACGTGCACCAACTTCGTACAGACCATGCTACATGGTTCACGCTGACAAGTCAACGCCCGTCAGTGTCCCTCTGTACTGAAGTTGCAAAACTGACGCGCTTCACGGGATTCTGGATCTCCAGCATAAGCAGCACCAACGAGAGAGTTGACGGCGCCAAAAGAGCAAACAAACTGAGGAACGACGCGGTCAAGAGAGGCGAAAAGATTATTGGGCAATGTAGTTGAGAAAAAAGCAAAGGCGAAAAAATAACAAAGCACTAGAAACTGCATACAAGCGCAAGGAAATGGGCAGCCCCAGTGCCTCTGCAGCATTTGTCTGTCTTCCACAGAAGGCATTGCAGCCCTTGCGCTCAGTAGGGGCGGGCCCCGGGGTACAGGGAGGGATAAAAAAATCGTCTGGTGGTATTTCTCTACAAATCTAGATATCGTGCCGTCTAGCGTTCAATTATTCTGTCTTCTGCGTGGTCGCTGCCAATCTCTGTCTCCCCTGGCCACCTCTGAGAGTTAAGTAAGCCGTTATGCCTACTGAAATGGAGACCGCCGCATGCAGGACCAGAGAAAGCCAACACGCCGGCGTTATTTCCTCTTCAAGAAACCGGTGCGGCGAGTTGTACAGGCCTAAACTGTGCCTGAACCCATATCGGCAGCACAAAGGCACTAGTCCAAGACTTTGCAAAAGAGGCGAAACAAAAACGGAAGTGTCCTGAGTGAAAGAAGCAAGTAGCTGCAAATGAGCGAACGAACTGGTAGGCACTCAAATGCGAAACACTGGCAGCTCGAGGGCGATTCAAAGAAAGAAAGGCCTTGTTCTCCATCTGGTCAGGCGCTGGGGGAGGCAACAGACAGCCCTGTCTCCAATCAGCGGCTATAAGACAGAACAACTACAACAATCGTCTCCAACAATGATAGCATCGATAACTGTTTTTAGTGCCCCCCTGGGATAACTGTAGGCTAGAGGAAACGGGTAGCTTACTGTTGCACCAATGTCCAGGGTGCGAGGAGGCCAGCCAAAAAGAGCACACCCGCCCGCGACTTAAACGGCAAGTGGCGTCTAGACGAAATGAAGATGAGGGCACTGATGGATAAATACGACAACTGCGACCAAATGAGCAAAATAACAAATATGCTATGGAATATTCTGCACAAACCTAACAATTTAACCCCCTTGTGCATGCAGCTGTGCTGTACACATAACATAGCACTGCAAAATAAACTGGACACGCAGTGCAGAAACGACAGAAAAGCCTGCATGACATGGGAAACATATTCCCATCGAAACGGACTACTAACCGCTGCACGCTCAAACGGTTGCAACGCGAGTAATCAGACACTTGATCAACCGACACATAAAAAATGTGCAGATAAATAGACATAGCCACTAGCAACTGGACATGCATACGCTCTGCCTCTGTGCTTCTGCTCTCCTTTATGTCAAACAGAAGACCTACAATGCATCGTGCACTGTATAAAGAAACTAGTGCGGCGCGCAACCACTGTGTCTTCTCTTTAGAAGCCAAAGTGTAGCGTTAAAGATAAACGGGAACTCACCGGCAACAAACTGGCCTGCACAGCGTGGTAAACGCCTTCCCAACGAAATGAAGGACTGCTAGCCGCTACACGCCCAAACAGTTGCAGCAAATACAATTGAATGCGAATAATCACACACCTGACTAACAGATACAAATAGATATGTACAGATGCACAAAACTGCGGGCAACTGAACATGAGCGCAACTGGCCGAAACGCATATATGTATTGTTACAGATATGTATGTAAACGCATGCATTGTATGCACACGCATGCATACACGCATACAAATCCATATACACATACACATATGCATATTAGACATGCATGCACATATACGTGCATATGCATATACATATACATGCATACATCCACATACACATCACATGAATGCATGCATGTAGAGATAAGACGTACACCTGCGTAGATATAGGTCTACACGTAATACACATCTAAGCAGATGAATATGCATGCGTCTTCGTAAGAAAACTCATGAAAAGGATAAACATACAACGGGAAAATACTTGAAAGTGGACAAATAGAAGTATGTGGACACAAACGTACACGTCAGCAGACGCTTAGGGAAATACGCAACTATTACTAAATGGATGGCAATCCTAGTGTGTAGTCAAGGGCGCACACATGAGCGAAATAGTGGAGACGCAGAACGCATTGACACTTCATAGCAGCAGAGCATCAACTGCAGACAGATGCACCAACATGAAAGTAACGGCGCAGGAGATAGAAGATATGTTAATATGAACGATGAGTTTGGGTGGACCACAGAATTGAGAAGCACAGAAACCCAATAGCGAAGTGAAAAAAACAACATGGAGAGCAAACCTCGAAGGAGGAGGTGTCCGTTGCTGCAGAGGATTCGTCCCAAAGACCAGCCAAGGCCAATGCACAACAAACGCGTCTCGTAGGAATACGTCAGCGCCCTCCTGCAATAAACAAGCGGCAAAGGGGCAATGAACCGTTCACTGGGCTATCGCTGCTACTGTCATTGTTGTTGCTGCTGATGCAGGAGTGTGGGGAGTGCGACGGCGGACTTGGTGGAGAGGAGGAGATGAATGTTGCCGAGCTCTACAGCAACGGTAACTAAGTCAACTATCGCCTGCAGGGACAAATAGTGTATTTAGGACAAGAACGACAGGTTCAGACAAAAAACATATACAAAAAACAAGCGAAATAAGCGTACAGCGCCATGAATATGTACGGCTACACGAGAGAGAAGTGCCCCACGGAGTAGAGAACCACAGACAAATCGACACCAAAACAAGCGAGCAACGAAGAAGCAGAGAGAAGAACCGAAATGAGGCACGGAAGAAAGTATTCAGGCGGCACAAGGACAAAACCAGACAGGGAACGGATGTATATCCGAAAATGCATATGATGTTAGAGATAAACACCCAGGGAATACGCTAAGGATAGAGATATGACGACAAATTGAAGAACCTTACGCTGCAGAAAACGGAGCTCTCGCACGTTGCAGGAAGTACGGTGGCAACTATAAGGCTCTGAGGCATGCAAGTAGTTACACACGCAATAGGCACGAGTGACGCTACTGGCTTTGTTGGTTGCGTTTTCCAAAATGGACAAACGAACGCTGCATGCCTCATCTACGTTGAGGGAGCGCCTGCAGTGTGGATCTGCAACATATGTTGCTTTACCTTTCCAAAAAGACTAATGAAGTAAAAGGCAGTTGCCAACGCCAGTAACCTTCTGGTGCCAGTTTGGTCAGAGCTGCACAGGACAAGGATTGTTGGCGAAAGCACGGAGCGAGCACATAGGATGCGCAAAAGAAGGAAGCTTACGCTAAGCTAAAGGTATACAGAAGAGTGGTTGATTTGCTTGACTGTATGCGCACTGAAGAATGAACCCACAGATTTGTCGCCGTGTAGATTGCCACAACCGGGCCAAAGCAAAAAGCGGCGCAGGCGGCCGCGTGTAGAAACGTCATCTTTCCCCTCGTCTTTGACCACCTAAAGTACTGTGATTTGATTAAACAGGCGGCAAGGCCTTCGACAGAGCTATAAGTAGGGAGAGATATACTTTAGTTGCGTCGATAGGTGGTGGCAGCAAAAGGCGAGCAGGCGGGGGCGCGACGGTAGGAGAAAGGGCGGACAGAAAGAGGAAAGGAACAAAAAGTCTTGATCGATGCTTCTGCTTTGTCAATGTTGCAGAAAGATGACAAGTGGACCCAAAGAGGTGAACTGTCTCCAAGCTCACTCAAGCAACGCAGCGGAAGAAGGGCGACGAGGAGGAACAGACGGTCAATACGCGCAAGGATGGAAGAGAGCCAATATCATATGGGTGTTATCATGCCTGGTGTAATCTGAGTTTGAATCAAAAACGGTGGCACTAAATAAAGAAAAGACTGATGTTGTGTGTCGCGGCTTGCCTGCCCACCGCTACTCGTTGGGCTGTCGGCACAGCCGAGCAGGCAGCAGGTGAAATGAGTATGGATAACCCCTCAAGTACAAATAATATTCTACGTTCCAATATGAATATTCCAAGACGAACTCTTCACAGACATGTGCCACATGTTTCCTGCAGAGGTAACGCCACACGCCAGTGGGACTGTGGGAGCGATTGACTCTGCATGCAGCCATCGTCGCTTTAACAGGGACTCTTTGTGGAATGGGTCTCTAAGGCTTCTCCGCGGTTGTTTATTTCTACTTACCCTATGTTCTTTTGCCTTACTCACAACGTACAGAACAAATGGAGTGAGGAACGCAACGGGGGCCCCAACCAGTGCCGGCTGGCTTATGGTGTTGCTCCTCTGTCTCCTCGTCCATTCAGTCTTCACTTTCTCTGGCTCAAGTGGAAACTCCAAAAGGGCCTCGGGGTCGTATTGAGCTTCTGGGGGGAGCGACCAGATCCAAGACAACGCACTTGCCTAGTCGGGCCCTTTCAAGCGAAAGTTGCTTATGGACTATGGCCTATGGCACGGCCCCCTCTAGTTTTTTTTTGCACCATTATTAAACATTTTACAAGTCCGTTTGAGTCGGAAGCGTATTGCTCCCGCATTCTCCTCACTGCAGTGCCCATCCGCAGGCTCGCCTCCCCTGCCCTTGGTCAAGCCCAAAGCCCCAGAAGAGTGCTATACTTTCTTTCTTCCTCCTGACCATCTGTCATAGGCGGAGGCAGCCGTGGTGAGGCCTATGCGGAGGCAGCCGTGGTGAGGTGCAGCACCTCAGGTCCTTCTTGGGGTACCTCCCCGCCCCCGTGTCTGCACACATGTGTGGGTATGTACAAGGATGCTGCGCAACGCGTCTCTGTTTGGGAAGTATTTGCGCTGTTTGGGTCGAGGGGCGCAGAAGGGATTTAAGAAGAAGCAGATCCTCCCACCCATGCCTGTGAAGGCGTACGGCCGTCCTCCCTCGGCTGCTTCTCAGTGCGGCCTTTTCCACGACGAAGACTACAACTATTATACGAAGATCTCCTTCTCACTGCGGAAACACCGCCGCAAGTTGAAGCCAAATGTGCTCAAAAAGGACTTTGAATCCGAAGGTCTGAATACAGTTGTAAAAAACTTAAAAGTGACAACTTCAGCGCTCCACGCCATTGACGACGCGGGAGGACTGGATGAGTATTTGCTGCGTACGCCTCCAGAAGAACTCCGCAGTGTCCTTGGAGAGAGAATGAAGGCGGTAATTCGGTTCTACGACCGAAATCCCGAAATTAGGGAGTGGGCACTGCCATGGAAGTCATTCGCTAGTGCAGCTGCTCTTGGCGACCCTTGTTACGCGCTCTACAGACATCTCAGGGGCAAGGAGTTGTACGAGATGCGGATGCGACAAGAACAGAGGCGTCACTCCCCTTACTTTCTGCCCAGTGTCCATAGCATGCATCCCATGAGGCAGCCGTTCCCTGATGGCGCTGCAGATCCTCAGCTGCCGCATCTCGGCTGGGCGTTGAACCCGGCAGAGGCGGCGGCTTTGCGGCGACGGCTGGGTATGGCCGTGAACCAAGTGAGGGCCCATGCCTCCCACGAAGAAGCGGACGGCTTCCGCACGGGCAACAACAGGGGGGGAGGCGGGCAGAGCGGCTCTTCGCTCAGAAGACGTTCAAAAACGCATAAGTGGAGGGAGATTAGGGCCTACTGACAGACCCACGCAGCAGCCCATTCTCTTCAGGTGTCTCGGCATCTGCTTGGAGTGGATATACTATGCACTCTCAAAGCACTTATACGCAAACGCCTTCCTGCGTTTCTAACCTTTTCTAGTTCCACCGTGCATTATAAACTGCAAGTTTTGTTTGACTTGTATATTGCTTGTTGCGTTGAAGCAAGGCCACAGAGAGGTAGTGCCACGCATGCTGTGGCTGTTGCCAACTGTTACCAAAATAAACTGTGAACGGAAAGTACAAAGGCAGGATGACTATTAGCAGAGAATGCAAGTGCATACGGAAGGACACGGCAAAGGCAACAACGGTGAATAAAATGTCTCCGAAAACTCCAGGCGTCATTTGACGTTCGCTGAGTTACAGAAAATGCGAAGGCGAGTCGGGAACGGTGCAGAGCGAACTTTGCTTCTGTGGGCACAAACCGTGAAACATTCCACGCTTGGGAGAGATGCCTCGTTTGCAGAGTGCGAACAGTAGATTACAAATCAGACTTGATCAAGCCGCAACCAACGCTCGCAGCGCAGATGAGCTCCAGCGCAGCGCCGCCTCCCTGGGCTCCATGTGCCTTCTCGTGCAAATCGGGGATGGGGCTCTCACCTACGGGGGAGAGCAACGAGCCAGGCGATAAAATGCTCTGCTGTATGTGTACGTGCACCCCACACAGTCTGAAGTGCGACCGTGCGACGACCGCCTCGCTGCTACGACCGACCCCATTTGCTGCACTGCAGCGGCAGTGTGTGCACGGGCTTGGCGCAGCAGGACCGTCTGTCATTTTCCTGGCAGGGCAATGAGGACTACTGAGGCGATAAGGAGAAGCACCACGCAGCAGCAGAGGCACTGCAGACAGCGGTCGTGAGCGGCGTTCTTAGCAATGGCGTGGGCTGTCTTCTTCGTGCGACCGATATTCATCTCAACATTGTCCAGGCCTTCCTTCACGCCGTCGAGCTGGTCATTCTGCTGTTGCAACCGCTGCAGAATCGCCCCCCCGATTTCCTCGGTCTCCGCCGCCTGCTGCTGCGTCCGCGCCAAACTCAGCTACAGAACACAAACGCATAGACAACAGAGCAGCAGTCAAGTAGCTAAGCGACAAACAGACGAGTCCAGAGAGATACATGAAGAGCCAAACCACGCTCACGAGCAGTCGCACAATTGAACAACAGACGGACGAATGCACAAAGACACCTGGGGTGTTTGACTGATCCGCCTGTAACCCTTTACAATAGGCTACTAATTTATTTCTCCTGCTTGTTTGGAGTTCCGTCTGACCTCTGTTTGATCCTGGATTTCGTCGCCCAACGTAATCAGTTGTTGCCGTTGCTGTTGCGAGCACGCTTCCGTCGCTTCTTCCTGTGGTTGTTCATGCGTCTTTGTATAACGCTGCAACAGTTCGTCTTTGCTGACACAAAGCAGCTGCTCTTCGCATTCTGCGGATACTTCTTTGAATTGTTGCTGGAGCAGCTGCTGCCGCCGCACCAGTCGCGAGATCGCCTCAGGACTCAACAAGGACGATGAGCATCGCAACTCCAACGCCAAGGAACGCATGCAAACAGTCGCCTAGAACAATTAATATAAAACAGCCCCCATACAAAGGTACACAGCTTGTGAGTTAATGATACACACTTTAATGCCCACACGTACTGAGAGAAACACGCTCCACGCGTGAAATGCAACACGTCTAGTCATGCAAAACCAAACAAATAAGCATCTCCCTCATAATCCCAGCACAACCCTCAGCGAGAAAAGCGATGCAAATACTTAACGCGAAAGTGCTGCATAGTGCCAGGGTAGGCGGAATTCCCCACGGAATTTCTGTCTCTTCATACCTCTTGCTTAAGTCTGTTTATTTGGTATATGTGCTTTTGGCGATCCTGACTGTTTATCAAGGGACCCGCCGCCAGCTGACGTACGGCCTCTCTCAGGTCCTCTACTGCCTGCTGAAATTGCAGCAGCTGCTCCTCCACCTCTACACCCCCGAGCCCGTCGTTTCGATACTCCATGTGCAATATGTTTATGTAGTAAAATATTATGCTTTGATAGCTACTTTTGATATGCTGGCTTATTCGATCCCTTTAAAACTATTAACGCTTGCAGGCGCAACAAAAGGCTCTTTACTTTGAGCCGTTCCAGTCTCAGCTTTTCTACGGATATCGAGTGTCTTTAGCTTTTTAACCTCCTTTGAAATCTCTGTCGCAATACAACCTCTCAAAGACATTCAATCGGTTAGCTTCCTCTGAGGTCCTAGAGGCCTCTAGATGCCCTTCGACCTCATACAAATTATAGGTCCTTCAGTTGTTGTATGACACCGAGCCCTCCCAAGACGCTTTACTTTTCTGTGAATCGGAATTCCCATTCAACGGCTGGTCGTCGCCCCTGCACGGATACGGAGGCTTGATGGCCGGAATTCTGGGTAGACACAGCCTCCGGGAGCCCGGCCCAGAAGAAGAGAAGCCGTTGAGAGTTGAATGCGGCAGTGGCAGTGGCAGAGCTGATGAAGAAGCCCTTACTGAGGTCTTACCAGAGTCCTTCTGCTTATTTGTAGTTGCCCCTAGACGCGCCATCTATCGATTGCCCCTTCATTCCTCACTTCATCACTTCAACAGCCCAGCGTTCTATCATTTCATTCCTCCACCAGCTCAGTAGTTTATGCTTGCACAGTTGCTTTGCGCTGCAGCACTGGCGGCGGTGCCCTTGCAACTTTTGCGCCTCTTCCCTGAGAGCTTTTGCAATTGAGATGGCAACAGAAACATCCTCAGGTGTTAATGGTCGAACTAGCCGAGGAGGGGGCGAGCGGTAAATTGGGTATTTCCAGCGGTGATATGCGTAACAACAGGTGCCCAGCAACCAATATTCGATGAAGCAAGAGGCCCCACGAAGCAGCGGGAACAATACCCAAGCCGCAATACAAAGCGAATGGTCAATCCATTTTGTTCCGCAAGGGAATGAGAGTAATACACCCAAAAAATCTCCGAGGGAAGGGCGAAGAAGTGTGTCTGTCGATCTTGCCCGGCGCTTGTACGGGCTCTGCATCAAAAGCGGATCATCAGCAGTTGAAAGTATGCGGAGAGGCTAAAACGAACTGGAGATAAAGAACAGATGGCGCTGCGATGTCCAAACCAGGCGCCAGCAAGCCGCAGGCATCTGGGGCTGCGGGAGACTGCATGTCTAACGCCAGTGAGCAAATCGAAGGGAATCCGAGCCATCCCGTAGTATCCCACTTGGCGTTTTTCGCTCGTTTTATATGGGTATAGTGGATGTTAAGAATAATTAGAGCGCGTAGCTGAGCATAGACAGCGCTGACCCGAGCGACTGCAGCTCACAATTCAGGGCGGCGCCGGGACAAGTGCCCTTCAAATCACAAAGAAAACGGCCTTCCTCCACTAAATTTGTGAAACACCTTTAGGGGATATGCCCCGGAACCGTCCATCCATACATAACCCATCCAATAGTCGGCCCACAACGCCTGCACCAGAAGACCGCTGCGCCACTTGCCCCCCGGCGATGTTGGACGTGTACTCGTCCTGGCTGGGCACTGCAGCCGCGAATGGAATCATTAAACAAAAAAGTAGGTTTCCTCTCAATGTTCAGCTGTTCGGTGCACTCGAATGCAAGTCAGGACGGCTCCTCCAGGAGCTTGACCTTGTGGACGTCGTGAGTGCCTAATTCGCGTTAGCTGCGCATGAAGACTCACCCACTAGGAAAGCTGGAGCCAATTTAACAAAAAATGCTACAGACAAGTTCTAGAATAAGTCATATCCTAAGGAGCATATCAGGGTACCTTTCGCCGGCCCAGCGGGTACTCCTGTCCAATACTCGTGACCAGCGAGTAGGCCAAGAAGGTAACATTAACTTCGCATGAACTGCCACGGCCCTATTGACAAGCTTCTATTGAATCAACTGTAATGATGCAGAAAAGGGCACAACATTGACGGTGAAGAGGAGCTCGGAACCCGAGAGGAAAGGCACCACTTCGTTGCCCGACCCTTCCACGCCGCAAACGACTTTCGGGACCTGCGGAATCGACGCCAATAGCACCGAACACATTGTTTGCTCGGACCTTCTGGAGATGCGCTGATGAATCTACTTTACTTTTCAGTTCAAAGGCGCAGCCTCCCCTACCGCAAAAGGCGCCCGTTCCAGCACCACGCAGTCTTGCCCCTCCACCAATTCTGCTCAATGGACGGAGATAAACACACGCAAATACGCAACAATGAGTGGAAAAGGCTAAGGGACGGGCAATAAGCATCAAGCGGCACATTTCCCATAAAGGACGCTATGGGTTGTGTGAAGACCGATACTGAACGTGCAACATGGATGTATTTCTACTCAAAAATGGCTTTACAGCTTCATTTAATAATTTTCAACTTGATCGAGAGGCTTTATGCGGCGCCGAGGAGAAAACGTGCCAGCCACGCCTCAACAAACAGCGCAAAGTTCAGGTGCATCTGTTCAAAGGCCTTTGTCTGTTCTACAGAACGCCTACCCTTCTTAGGTATCCCGAAGAAGGCTGCTGCGTGTTCACACGCGAAACCCCTCAGCTTATCTAGGCATCCCTCGCGGGCAAAAATGTCGGCAAGGTACTGTGCAAAAAACAAACCACAACAGTAAACTGACAGCTTACGTTGAGCTTGACGCGAAATGCAGAGGCGCATCCTTCCTACCCGATTGCACACACGCATACGGCCGTACACATCCCTGAGGGGCTAAATACCTAAACTTCCAAAGAGAAGCACGGTAGCGGCATATATTGTGTAAAAATGTGTAAAAACGATGATAGATCACTGCACTCCGTTAAACAGCAACAAGTTTGCTCTTAACATGGAGCGGTTCTACCGTGATTAGTCGCAACAAGACAGCAAGGAAGTTAGTAAGGGCGAAATTACCGCTAGGAGGAACGGCTGAGTATAGACGCCAGCTGCTGGCGGGTTCGAGTCTTTCTTTGTCCTGTAGATGAACAGGCGCAAACTTGTTAATACAGTCTGTCTCCATCAATGAACTGTAATATGCCCAAATGCAGTTAATCTTCACTGTATTTCCTGGACTGCCTTAACTACGGCTCACTGCTTTGCGTCGCACTTTGTCTGCCCTAACCTGAACTTTCTGTACTGCGCACTGTTTCGTTTGAATTCATTTTCTCTCTCACTTTACTCTACAACATATTATTTCACTTCATCTCCGCTCCCGTCACTCTACTGCACTGTATTTTACACTCATTTGACGTTTTTTTATGTTGCTACACTTCGCGGACACGGGATGAGGAGCTGAATCCGAGCCGAGAAAAAACTGCGTATTTCCCTCGCGAATTACCTGCGAGTGCAAGAGCAACGACGGTTTCTACAATGAACCGGGCTCTAGATGAAGCGCAGCAAAAGGAAGACTCTCCTAGGCTAAATGTGTACGCACCCAGTATACGCGGTAGAGTGGCTATTGGTCAAGGGAGGTTTGCATAGGAAGGCTGAGGCCACTTACGCTTAGGAGTGCCTGACGGTCTTCTTCACACTTGGCTAACGGCTTGCAAAAGTTGTGAGGATTTAGCACGTGGCTTTCCTCGGCCCTCGCCAAAGAGCTCTTGTAAAGGTGTTCTGGACCCCATACGTCAGCCGTTGTCAGCTGAAGTGTCAAACAAACACGCATCGTTGCTTAGAACCTCGAATACAGCGCTGCATGTTAGTGGGGGTGCCTCTCCTTCCGGGTTCACACAGTGCCCGTCAACTGGGCGAAGTAGGCAGTTGTATTGTTGGCTCTGAAAAAGCATAGGGCTGATATGCCTGCTTGCCCTTGATGCAACAGACCACAATGAGCCCGAGTGATCGAAATGAACACACTTGGCAACATACTTCGCAGCACACTTCACAAAAACCTTTATCACCTGCCTTCCTTGATACAACAATTATTGATGGTGTACACAGAAAAGTTGATAACGCGTTACAGGGATACTGTGCCTTCGCTTTCCCACCCGCAGGTGGTGTGCAGTGATGGTGGCCGCGACATTCTGTTTTCCCTTTACAGCTTCAACCGCAGCAGCCGTGGAGATGTGCTCAAACACAATTTTTAAATTGGGAAAGCGCTGGTGTACCTAACAAGCGCAAACAACGAAAACGCAAAGGGCAATCGATTTCATAGAACGAACATAGTTTTGTCGTTCATCCTCTCTCCTAAGACTCCCCAATACAGGTAGCAGAAGTTGCAAAGACGTAGTGAGGAAGTGCGCGGGTTTGGAAGGAACGCATGAGTAGGGTGGAAAGATCTCGGACTTGTTCAAAAGTCGGCAGGAACATTTCCTCCGCCTTGAGTGCCGAAGCTGTCGGAGACTCTGCGTGAATATGCAGGCTCAATCCGCACCGCTGGAGCGCTTCAAACACGCCATCAAACGCCGTCAGATCCTGCAGATAGCCCAAGATGCACACCTGCGTCCATGGAGACTGTTGACTCAAGCTGCGACTCGGCTGTCTCTCGCCACCCAAGTCAGGCGGTAAGCCCAGCATTAAAAGGTTCGAGACAACATTCGCAGAAGTGGAGGGACCACTGACCTCCACGCCAGCCTCCGAGTTTGTAGTAACACCACGCGGATACAATTTCACCTGCAGGGCGGAGAAAAAGAACACGTCCCGGAAGAGCGGATGGGTTCAGGCAAGCTGACGCTTTCGCCACTCTGCACGCTTCTACGTATGATGCAGACGGTTCCAACAACTAGACGGCAGGAGGAGTGCAGCACGAGCGGTATCTGTGGTTGAAAAGGCTGAAGCATGGCCCACTCCAACGACGTGCGAGGCCTTTGCATTCTTAGCAAGATCATGGGGATCGACATCAGGGCACAGGTAGAGCGTCATCAGGTAATTCACTTTGGGATCCTGCAGAAACCGCCACCTCCAGCACACGGCCCACTACACTGAAAGAAATCGCCATGTGCATCAGTGCAAGAAGCCCTGCAGGAGCATATGCACCCCACAACCTGCCGAAGGAAGCTGCGAGGAATTTGAATGGAAAGCAGATACGCACCCTCTTCAGCAGCTCGTTTCTGTACTCGAGCGCCTGCGAGCACGTCACAATCGGGGGGACTGTGTTGGGCATCACCAGGACTCGGTTACTGCAATCGCACGTAAACCAGACACAAGGCGGCGGAGGTGACTCATGTTTATCTTGCATCGACAGCTCGGCAGCGATTCGTTCCTGCTCCCCTCGTCGCTACGGCGTGGTTGCTGATTGAACGTAGCGTTTTTGTTTGGCAGTCCCACCATCCTCCTTTGCGAAGATGAGGAACTACAGCATCCATGAGTTCCCCTTGCCTTAAGTGTGTGTGCATGTCGTCGCCCATGGGCAGCACAAGTCGCCCTGAAGTGGAGCCCTTGTCAACCATGGCTGCTGTGCATTAAAAGCGAACCTGAAAACCACTTCTTAATGGGAAATACTACAAACGGAGCTGCTTACAGAATGGTGATGAAGCTGTCGCAGAAACGGGAGTCAAATAGAAGGAAATGCGTTCCGCTGTGTGGGGCTGCGGCTGGGCACTGCCGTCTTCACGGCCACCCGGTGCCGATGGGGCTGCACTACTTGGTGCAGCAACCGTGAGTGAATGACCGTAGAGTCGTGTGTTTTAAAGGCTTACGAGACCGAGCATTACGTGGGGGAAGGCTTTCCTCTGGGCTACTGGGCTCGCGCCTTGAATCATGTCTCCTGCTGCATGCTACCGCAGGAGGGCTCAAGTTTCAGCTTTGCTGGGTTGTTCGCAGCCTGCCCTTCTTTGCTTCGCTCCAGTTGAAGCATAACGGAGAAATCTCTTGATTTCGTTCGTCCGGCAGCACCCGCGTGCCCCAGCCCTTCGACTCTAGGCTACACTCAAGTCTATTCGTTTGGGGGGTTACACTCCACGGGGTTGTGTAGTAGAAGCCGTTTTCCCGTGTCCTTTGTTTAAAGGCCATATATCCGAGTCTTTAGCAGAAACAGGCCTCTCCACACCTTAGGAGGTGGCAGCCTACGCGAGGCCGTGTGATTCTTTACAAGTGCCGGCGGCTTAGACGCTAGTACTTGCATAGCAGCGTCTACCCTGTGGCGTACGTCAGCGGAAAGCTTTGCAAAGAGGCCCATAGGCCGGTTGGGAGTGACAAGGACTACTGTTTGTGCAGCGCGCCGTAGTTGGATGAGACCTTCCTCGTGACCTGGCCTCCATTGTGGTTTACTCTCACCATGGGTTATGATCGCGGCTCTGAGCCACGAAGGAGCCTTTCGGGAGGCAGGTCTAGGAATTACGTACCCCGGCACAGCTCTCGTACAAACTACAGAAGCCCAGATCGGCCATACCGGGGCGCAGACTATTCACGACGAGCCTATCGTAATCGCAGCCCCGACTACGGTGACAAGTACCGGCGCAGAAGCCCATCTGGAGCCCGCTATGGGCGGGAACAACGTCCGTACAAAGGTGGTCGCAACGCACCTTATCGGCAGAGCAGAAGCCGCTCTCCGCTGTCACGTCGCAGCAGGAGCGCGGAGTCCGTTCACAGAAGCGAGAGGTGTACGCGGAACGATGTGCCATCCGCAAGATTTGGCAGCAGAGCTTCTTACCTGCGAACGAGAGGGGCAAATAGGGTGCCGTCTCGCAGCTCATCCCGCGCTTATGGACGCAAGAGTCCTTTACGCGGGGAACAGGCGGGCCGGCACGATGGCTGCCACCGGTCAGTGTCTCGAGACAGGTACCGGGACAGGCGCGATGAGCGGAGCAGAAATTTCGTCTCTCCCGGGACGGACTTCCCGTCCCGAAAAGGGCGTGCACTGGACCAGTATGATCCCCTTCCTAACAGAAGTGACGTACGGCGAACCGATAAGTACGCTGCAATGCATCGCTCAGAAGGCCGAAGCGTGTCACAGCACAACAGAAGCCGTCGGCCTTCACCAAGGATCTCGCGAGGGCGCAAGACACCATCTCCAAGTCACCGCTCACGATCGCAAGGACGAACTGCAAAGTGGTCAAGGAGTGCTAGCAGGTCAGGCAGTTGGGCCAGAAGAAGACATGGGACAACCGCCAGCCGGCGCTCACCCAATGCAAGCAGGTCTAGCCGAAGGTCCGGAAGTGGAGGAAGAGGGGCAGAAGCTGCCAATACAAGTCGACACTCGCAAGTGTCTGAGGGAAGCTTTACCCGAAGATCACCAGTTGGGTCTACAAGGAGGGGTGGCGAAACTTCGACTCGTCAGTCGCCGAACCACGACAAAGGCGCACGCCGATTGTCCCGTGGGGACTCCAGAATGAGGATAGATGGGACTATGAGGCGCTCTTCGCATTCAGAAGATCGGTCACATCGAGCGTCGCGGAGTGTATCGCGGGAGAGGCCTGCGGTGGAAACGAACAAGCACACTCAGGCTGAAGTTCATTCGCGGAGTCGGTCCCTGTGCCGATCCGCTGACTGCCCGACCCCAGACCTTGTTTCTTCTCGACCTTGTAAGGCTGACAGCAAAGAAACAAATTCAGATGGGCAATCTTTAGGCCATCAAGGAAAACGAACGCCCGAGCAGGAAGCCTCACCCGAGCGAGCACAAGATAATGTTGAAGGGGAAAGGTGCGGTGACGAAAGGCCAGTAGAAGCCCCTTGTCGTAGGAGCGAGGTTTGTTCGGGTGCCAGACAGTCTTTATCTGTTTCACGCTCCCCGCCAGCTGGAATGAGGGTCCGGGACCCTGAACGGGACGAGGAGAAAGAACATGGACTTAGCTGTCCGGAGACACCCTCCGTAGCTGGGCAACCTGGTGCAGAAAAGAACAGGCACTTGCCTGAGACAAGCGCGGCTTCCAGGGGTACCAGATTATGTGTTCAAAAGCTTGGCTCACAGGAAGAAGGGCCGATTCAAGAACAAGGCGAAATGCCAGCCAAAGTAGAAGACCAGCCTCCTGCGTCTATAGCCCAGAGTAGTCGCTCCTCACCAGCGCAGAGGCATAATGAGAGGCTGCAGTCCGAAGGACCCGGGCATGATGCTGATGCTCAGTGCGATGGACGGCCAGCAGAAACTTCCGGCGCAAGAAACATTGCAGCTAGCTCGGCAGGTTGTGCTACGACGATAGATGAACCGGAGGGCTCCCGTGCAGGGTTAGCTTCAGAGGAAAGTAGGCGCAACGCAGAAGTTGACAGAACAGTTGTACAACGCAGAATTGTCGCTACGGAGCCGTTCCCACCCGTAGACACTGCGGAAGTGTATAGAGCGTATCCAGAACATTCTTCAAGAGGATACTCAAGGGCCCAACGCTTTCCGCGGGAGAGGGGCGACCGCTTTCTTCCGGGGATGAATAGACATCAGACTGTCAGTCCCAATGCATGGTACCGACAGGACAGGGATGAGCGCCCTGATTTCCCTCAGCCTATGTATCCCGTTAATACCGGAAGATCTGTGCGGCTAGTAGCCCGACGTGGTGATAGGAATCCATTGATTACTGCGCAACAACGTATGAGGCATGCAACTCCAAATGAGTCCCAGCATGTACTGCTCCACAACGGGATCTACCAGCAGGTGGCACAACCTAACCAACGGCAGCTTAGGAGGACACCAATTCACGTTCAGCCGGCTGCAGGACGGAGCCGGAAAATGGTAAGATATTTTTGTTGCTGACCGAATGCATTTGCCTTGGCGCAAGTTCTCTGCGTTTTTATGGCCGTAGTGTAGAATGTGTGATTTCCGGGCAGGCTGGGATCATAGGGCGAGGCCTACAGGAAAGAAAAAACGCGGCAGGTATGTGTTACGCTTTCTGGTGGGTTTGGGGCGTGTTTGAACTGCGTTCGCTTCCTGACACTCTCAGTAGCCACTGCGTGAATGTGCGCAGCTTCCAGCAATGCGGATGGAAAATGGAGCCACGATTTGTTTGAACAGTTGTCCAGCGAGCCCGAGCGGAAACGGCGAAGGTTTAATTTATATGTAAGCGCGCTTATTTACTCTCTATATGCCATTACTGGGTGCATTCAGATTCCTAAACTAAACACTACGGAGCAACTGCCTGCGTTGTGAATTACACTCAGGGAGAAACACTCGAGAGAGTAGACGATTGAATGGACAACGTGTCCGCAATGTGCTTAAGATGGCACTCATCGCAACTTCACACATGCAGACTGTTCGGAATACGTTTAAAAGAGGGATAGCGCGAATGCAGCAGCGCTGGCTGCAACAAGGCACGACGCTGACACCGATGGCGCAGATGATGGATACCCCTTGATGAGCGGTCCGGAGCCTGCATTGTCCATTGATTTTGGAGATGCGGTACGGCAAAAATTGTCATGTCAGACATACCTTCGTGGTTTGCCCTAAAGCATTGGGTGCAAGGCCACACATTACATTTTTGTTCACTGCAGATGATCGCGGTATACTTACCGCATGAATCCAACCATCTGAAGGCACGAATTCAATTATTGAACAATTCTTGTTCTTAGCTACGAATTGTCCTTACCATGTGATCGCGGTCGAAAATACTGTAGTATTTCCTGATGAAGGAATTTCCGAGCACGAACAGGGGGCCTCGAGGTGCTGGCACGTCCTGAAAGGATGTTTAAACCAGCTACCACGAAGCTGCAAGTATGTGATATGAGCTCACCATAGCCATGAATCCAGCTGCGCAGTTGTTAGGGTTTCCTCTCTGTGTGGTGATTTGGTGCAAGTGATTGCGGGATGCCGACCCAGTGACGCTTACCGCATCAAGCTCTTCCACTACATAGTCCCTGGGTTCGAGGCTGAAGTTTACAAGCCTTCCATATATGTCTTTTAGGACAAATGTGAGCTGAAGGCAAAATTTAGTTTTTGGAATGTGTAGGCAATGGAAGTGCTAGCCTACAGTTGGCAGGGTTCCAAGATTGGAGCAATTCTCAGCAACGTTGAGTGCTTTGATGAGGGGATTGATGACAGATGATGGTCCCGTTATCTGCACTAATATTAAGCGAATGTCTTGTGTAATGTTATTTGAAACCCCTTACCAAACTGGATCCAGTGTCCACGGCTGCGCGGCATCCGCGTTTTTCACATACGCCAAAGGATTTTCCGTTTATTTTCATTCCATGTAGGCCAATTTCCCTGTGATGGCACTGCTGTCAGTACGTTTACATGAATTTGGCATTAAGTGCGTGCACACCAGTAGTCTGAAGGAAGCAGCATAATGAAAATGAAGTTGGGAGAAGGACGAGAATGGGCGGCATACCTAGAGAGATGACGGGGAACCACTTAGGTGTGTGCCCAGCGAAAGTATATTTCGGGTCCGCTGCTCCAAACTAAGACAGAAATGCAGCTCTGTTTTGGATTCTTCACAGGAGACCTTTTACCGAAATCTCTCCGGGGCTGAGAATTTATTCCATTGCTCAGTATAAGTAGATTTACAGTTGTCTGTCGCAATCGTACCGGTTGATGTCTTCGCTCATATAGACGGAGAACACATTTCGATCCAGAACTTTCTGAACAAAACTGATGTTGAGCAAAGCGACTCTGTGTCTCGTCGCAGCAGTAACACACCTCCTTAACCATTTGATCAACAATGGGAAGTGCGCTTGATGGAAGTCCCTCTTCCCCAGACACATCCGGGAATCCCAAGCCGACCAGCCCGTCGAAAGGCAGGTCAGCGAATGGATGAGTTGATTCTGGAACAAGAAAGTGCAAGTTCGGTTTAAGCTCGGTCGTGAAGTATTGTAAACGCACCTTCGACTGCCAGGCCGATTGCCTGGTTGGGCACTTTGCTGAAGAGCAGAATGAAGGCGTTTCACTGCGAACGAAATGATTCTTCTTACATGCCGCCGATCTCCACGATGTCGCGACCCATTCGAAGAACGCATGCTCCAGTTCCGTACTGAAAAGGCCATTGAGAAGTATTTCTTGAAGTCTAGAAGTGTGTAAGACGCACTTGAATGAATGCGACTGCTGGGTCTCCAGTCAGCGACCGTATGGGAGAAAATGTGCTAGAATACTTTGGGTCGAATTTCTCATGGGGGGCGCATCCTCCTCTGCAAATGCGGATGAAGGAACGCTCGATGTTAAAGATATGTAAAGACGGCTTACTTCTCGCATTCCGCTGCAGGAACCCACAGATTTGAGGAACCAGTGTCAAAAACCTGAAATTTAAGGCAATCTATAACCTGGGGATTCGTTTGCCATTGAACTGATACCTTACAACTACGAATCTTCTGCCGGGAGTTCCGATCTTTATTTCGCCAAAATACTGGCTGTTGTGGTAATTGAGCAGCTTTTGCCGGGCCATCGTTCCAGAGGAACCAACGCTTCCCATTGTGGTGTGATGGTCGATCAGCTGTGAAACCAGCTCGCCAAGGCCAGTGAACTTGTATCTGTTGTCTAGCTTGATCGTCATGGGGGGTTCGCGTAAAAGATTTGTGTGAAGATCTGCCGTCTTCAGCATTACATCTTCCGGTTCTTCCAACGTTTCACTCAGAAACCGATGTCTTGCATCGGTTGGAGCGAAAGAACTGCAGCCAGCTAGGCCGGCCACGACCAGAAGGGAACGCATTGTACCTGGCTGTTCGTGGGCTCAGTAATTTAAGGGAAGCCAAGGTAAGAAATTATGGCTAGCAGTCAAAATGAAAATGCTTTGGCAGATGACTGGCAGACTGACGGATCAGGTGTATGGACAGCCCGAAACGACCACCGCGAGTCCAGCAAGCAAGCGTGCCGCTCTGATTTCGTGAAAAATGCCTCCAGAAAAGTTGTTCCAGCTTTGCTCTTGCTATGCTATTTTGTGAAAGCCACCAGGGACTCGCCATAAATAGACCGCAGTCGACACAAGTGCTTAAAAAAGCAACGCAATGACCACAAACCGGACCATGAACAGCCTTCAGTAAAGCTTCGGTTCCTGGCAGCAATCCCATGACTTATGAGCAATTCCGCCGTAGTGCTCACCGTTTTCCGTCCTCATGCATGCTCTGCTTTGCAGCTGCGATAGCTGCGTCTCACTTTTTTCATGGAAAAGCTGTGCACCCCACCCTTAGAATTGTTAGACTCTATTTAATAGCAATATAAGCAATAGCCTGAGCCCTTTATTACAAAAGGAAGCTCCGCTTTTCCTGCCCAAGTGACCCTGACAGCTGCATCGACAGCCAGAGCTGGGTCACCATCGAGCATAAATGCCACACACGAGAACAGCCAAGAGATGCATAGTTCCCTATTTTGTATCTGAACAAATAAGATGATCAATGTCAAATTACACATCCCTGCAAGTGCAGTGGCCCCTGCAGCTGAATCAGCAATCAGATCGTTGGCCCTCCCAGGTCTTCACGATGACAACGAAGTGTTCGTCACAAAATCAAATGATACTAGTCCCCCAAGGAAAAAAACTACCCCTACAACCTGTGGGCCGCAGCCTGAAAATACAATGGTAGACCAATTTTTCGGAACTGCGAGTGCAAAAATAAAGGGGCAAGGATACTTCCGTCCAACCGCAATTGCCAGGCAGTTGTCAAATCAAAAGTCCCCTAAGGAGACGGCAGCTTCACATATCAGTGATTCAGAAACTCCTTGCAGAAGCAGCGACGGTGTCGCGCACATAAGTCTTCCACGGGGCATGCCCTGCCCCAGAACATGCGAGAGACCAACAGTCGTTGACGAACAGAAAGACTATTGGGTGGTAAAGAAGCCGCTTTGTCACTTACCGTGGAGCAAGGAGAGGACTGGCACCAGTATAGATGACGATGGTGGAGTAGCTTGCGCTGAATCACTTGCTAGCTTTCTCCAAAGCCAACATCCTGAGCAGCATTTTCCATTGCTTTCTTCTCGCCAGCACAACTTCGGGGTTATATTCCACCTTGATGATTCTTGGATTGGCCTCAACATTGTGGCAAAGTCCGAGGCCGCATATGCAAGTTTCCAGACGCTTTTAGAACTCCAGTTGATCCACAGCTACGTCGAATGCTTCGTCTTGGGGCCTCCCTTGCTGTCTGCCACTGAGCTCTATGGAACAACCGCTACGGGCAGCGCTAAACTTTGCGTCAAAGTTTTGCAAAGTACCGTGTGCCGCAGCGCAGGATGCGGCGAAATAGGACACTATAGTGTCAATAGCGCAGCCACTGCTTGCAGCACAGCAACTGTGGTATCCCACGCCATTTTCCGAATAAGCTTCCCGCCTATACTTCTCCCTGACGTCCTTTGGTGCAGTGGCATCGCAGTTGCCTCTAACCCATACGTCCGAACAGCATTGGATGGAGTAGGACAGCGTTGCGAAACTCTATGCTGTTTTGCCCTCACTCTCCCTCAAATTAAAATTGATATTCCTCGTGACGGCTTCGAACCGCAGCAACAGCTCGGAGGAAGTTGTCTTTCCACGGCTCATTGCGAGTATACGAAGAAACAGCATTTTCAAATCTTTTCGTCTGGTGGGAAGGTCGACGCACTCAATCTTCAATTACACTATTCCACCCGGTGAGAGTCCCAAGCAGGGCACGTGGATTAACTTAGCGCCGGCGTTCAGTGTGCTCCTTCAATAGCACAAAGTTTGTGCTATCCGTCACTATGCCAGAAACTAACAAAGCGGAAAGTTAACAAAGTAGTTGATGGCGATTTTAAGCCTGAAAGACGGTATACGAACTAGGCATATGCTCAAAACAGCAGACTATCTGACGTCAAGTTAAAGCTGTGCGGTCATCATTCGGCTTTTAGCGGAGTATTGGCGCTCCGCGTCCCGTTGAAAATGAGTAGCATATAGGCTGATAGTTATTTGGAAGTACGGTGCTCGCCTGCCTGCCTTCAGGCTATTAGTATGCGCCGGATTATTTACTCTCTCTCCATTCATATTCCACGAACTGTTCCCGAGAATGGTAGGTTGGCTCCAAAGCGCCAACAAAGGTAACAATTCAAACGCTCCAGTACAGCGCCCACGCTTTTCAGTCAGCGGAATTATCAACGGCTTTTACAAAATTCGTCAGCTGCTGGAGAATAGCAACTTGCCCATCGTCTTTACTAATATTTCGCGATGGCGTCAAAAAGTTGATCCCGTACATGCAGAAATTTTGTTTGGGCAAGCTGAGGGCAGACCCTGGTTAGACATGCCCTAGTGACTATTCTGTTCCGCCAGCGAGACATTCTTCCTCCACTTCTACCTTAAAACAAGCTTAATTGCCAGTTGTTCCAGTCTTGCCCATCCCAAATTGGCATTTGGTATTCTTTTGTTCATCTAAAGATATGCAATATTGCCTTCCTTGAACACTTGTTGCTAAGAATGGGTAGATTGTGCAAAAACGATTAACTGTTACAAAACGTTTTTTCCATGAAGTGGAAATGTAGGAGACGACTGGTCAGCAGTTAGTCAGCAATTGCAATGTGATTATTGAGCTCAAAGGTCCTCCAAGAGTTCAAATAATGACAGAAGGCTTGGGGGCAGCTCGCACACGGAGACATCTGGGAAGTAGCCATTAGCTTCCTGCACTTGCGAAACGAACTTGTCCTCGAGACTGAGAAGCTTCGTCGGGGCTTTGACGAGTTCCTCAGCTAAACGAACTTCGTTAATATAGCATGTAAGAGAAGGATGAGCGAATAGAATCTTACCGTTGTCACCATGGCGAAGGAGGGTTGTTTCTTGCGTTTTTGCCTCCCCAATGAGGGTGACTTCCTTCTCGGGTTCCAGATCGGCAACCAGCTTCACAACCTAAATTGCCCAGCTTATTAGTGTAAATCCTCTGCGGGAAAGTGTATTCGCTCACCATTCTCCTTGAAGGGTCAGAGAGCCTTGCGAAAGTGCGGAGAACTTGCTTGCGCGAGAAATCGTTGTCCAAGTACTTGACTTCCAGGTCTCTTTTGGTGAAGCAGTTTGAGTGGGAGAAAATCTCCTCAGCCGATTTCTTGAAGTCTTCGGAGAAGTTTGCCTCCATCTTAGTGAGCTTTGCATGGGCTGCCTCTTTCCAGCGAGCCATTTCAGCATCAGGCATGTTGGCAAGGTATTCTTTCGCCTTTGTCAATTCTTCGTCAATCATCTTCACAACTTCATCAGGATGTGTCTTCGCGCCCTCGACAAAACACTGAAGGAGAGCTGTTGAGGCAGCTTGGGACTCCTTTGCTCCAGCAATATATCCCAACTGAGCTTCCGTGCGAAGTGAGTCATATATGCGGCGGTTGAGGAACTGAGTTAGAACGGCGAGGTTCACACGATCCTCAATTGAGGGAATACCCAGCTGGAACTGGACCAAGCTGGCATGGTCTTTATCGCCCTTGATGGGGTTCGCCAGGGTTGCCTCAATGGTCTGTTTCTGTTCCATCGCAAGAGACGCCACGGCATCGTCATGAGCAATAGGGGTGAATCCCGCCTGTTCCAGAAAGTCTTCAACCATGGCTAAGGATTGGTCGCGGTCAATGTTTCCCATGACAAATGCGTCGACGTGGATCTGGACACAAAAGTAATGGAAACGATAGGGAAGAGGAAGGATTTATTATTTTACTGACATTCTTTAGCTCGCTGAGCTTGGCGATTGAATCCTCGTAGTTGGATTGTTGAAGCGCGTTGAGCACGTCCTTCCGACTAAACGCGTCATTTCGCGTTAAAATTGCTGCAGCTTCGAGAGCGTGTTCAAATGCCATGCTGGTTGCTGGGTCAGCGAGTAGCTTGATCTGTTTTTCCTTTATCCTGAAATCGCCATGTTAACCTCGTGAACTTCCCATATGATGTCGCTGCTTCGCCTTACCTTTCAAACCGCTCAGGTTCCACCATTGAAGGATCGCTCAGAAGACTCGCCACGTGCGCCATGACCTTGCCTAGCTGCGCTTGCGTATAGCCTTCGAAGGTCATGTGGAATCCAGTCCCTTTGAATGCCAGACTGTGGGTGATGCCGCAATTCTGGAAATCCACTGTCTCCTCTTGTAGATGCTCTGCAATGGCAGCAAGTGCTAGGGACCCTTGAGTTCGAGACAGCACATCTGCCTTTTCTTTTGAAATGCTTCCGTTTAGCTGGACAGCGATCCTGGGCAGGGCAAATGCACCTTGTCCCTGCCACCATACAGCAGTTCCTGCGTTGCCTCCTTGCTCACTAATGAGTTCTGGCTCTGTGAGGCCCAGAAGACCAGGGAGGATCTTTAACTCAGAGGCCTTGGGAATGTGCATCAGAGGAGGCGGCATGCGGAAAGCGTTTGGCGAGGCAGTTAAGACGGCCATTGCCACTGCGTGGTGCTGCGGCAGGTCGAGCACTCTGAATTGCACCCCGTAGTAAGGATCCGTTTCGAAGTTGTCCACTTTCGAAGTAAAATCAGGATCGGAGAAGGCAATTATCGCTTTCGATGGGGACATCGCTTGGAGGAGCTGATTCGTCAGGCGAGGGTCTGCATCAATCAACAACGAATCTCCAGCAACGACGTGGTAGGGCTCGTAAGTTAGGAGATTGTGTGCAAGACGCGCTGCTTCGTCCATAATGGATGAGCTGGGTTGTGTTGTGTGGAAGTCGATGTGCGACTGTTGGGCCATAGTAGAAACTAAGTCATGGCCAACACCGTGGTCTCTCAGGAAGTTGATATATGAAAATATCTCCTGCAGTACAAGTCCACGATGGGCCGCGCCTTTCTGAGTCAGATCCACTGCGCCAGAATGCATTCATCTTGGCTGCAAGCCCTTGTTCAAATGTTCTTACCCTTTATGCCAAGCAGGGTGCTTATGGAATTCCTATCCACGGCAGGTGAGATTCCATCAGCAAGCCCAAGAAGCCGAAGGCGTTTTGCCAAAGATCCCTCTCCAGTGTACTCAAGCAGATAGGTCAGGACGCTGGTTGGCTGTTTTTTCTGAAAGGAGTGTTTGTTCCACTTGGCGGAACTCAATGCCAATTTGATCAACTTACATAAGATGTAAGCGTTGCTGGAAGGCCAAAGGCAACCCAGAGACTAGGCTGCGATGAGAAGCTTTGCAAGTGGATGAACTTTCCACTGTTGGTGTGGTCGAAGGGCTTGACAGTATCGAACATGGGTCCAGGGCACTGGACCATTCCAAGCCAGTCAGCGTGACCAGCGGATATGCCTATAAACACGATGGGTATGACTTCAGTACTCAAACGGAAAATGCCTTACCTTCAAGCTTTTCCCTTATCAGCGACTCTTGTTCATCAAGAGAACGCGGCGAAATAGTGACAGCAACCTGATGTATGAGCGAATCTTGCCCACCCGCAAATAGAAAATGAACAACGCTATTCTCACCATGTTTGACCCGCAGTAGTACTTGCTGTGGAAGTCCCGTAGGCGATCAACCAGGTCGATCCCGTTGGCTTTTGGGTAGGTACTCAGGGTTTCCGCGTTACCAGTAGCAAATCGAGACATTGGTCCTTTTGCCAGAGATCGGATCGTGTACCACGCTCTCTCGTCGTCGTTCGGGATGTTTTTCTGGTGCTCCGCGTCAATCGCGTTAACCTCTTTTTCTTCATACTGGCGGTTGAAGAGTGGAGATTTAAAGAACTCTGCAAAACGGTCTAAGGCTTCTTCGAAGGCACTGTCCGTGACCTTGTTGAAAAAGACCGTTTTTTCCTCGTCAGTGTAAGCATTGTTTGCCCCTCCGTTCTGTGTCAGGAAGCTGTCGTAGCTCTCCGGCTCCGGATATTTTGATGTCCCAAGGAACAACATATGCTCCAGGAAGTGGGCCAGACCAGGTACATCTTCAGGATCGTACAAGCTGCCAGTATTCGCTGCCACTGCAAAGCCTGCCTCATTAGATCGCGGGTGATGCACAGCTATAGCGTGCATGCCATTGCTAAGCTGGTAGTGGCGGAAATCTCGGTAATCGGCCTCTGGCTTAAGAATGTCGCTGGCCAGGGCGCCAATCGCAGAGAGTCCAACGCAAAGACCAACACTTGCCACGTTCCTCATCTTGGCAGGAAGAACGGAGCTGAAGAAGGGAAATATTGTACAATCGAGTCCAGGGTGGTGAACTCTGGAAAACTCTGGCGCACCCTGTGGCAAGTGACTGTTAGTCATTGCATGAACTGTATGTACACCACAGACGAACCCGAGGCTCTCCTGGGCTAGGTGTCTGAATCACAGCTTTCGCTGTACGCGTACTTACGCTAACCCATTGAAGCACCTAAGAGAAAGCTACGGACATTCATGTGCTCCATGAGAACAAAGGATCCTTAATTTCGCAAAATCTAATTTGTGCGCTCCTTTTGGTCCAAGACTGCGCTGTTTACATGTACAAAGCAGCCCAAGTAATCGGTTAACACATTCAGAGCGCGATCCTTCGTCACAGCGCCACAAGATGTGGAACAATGTCTTTAGAAGCAAAATGCATTCCATTAGCTATGCCTAGTAAAATGGTTTTAATTTAGCTATTTGTTTCTTTGCACGTGAATTCCGCAACAACCGTCTTTGCACGTGCTGTGCTGCACACTAGCATGGTATGTGCGCAGCGCCGCCGTGTGATGAAAAACCCGCTTGGGCTCCCAAGAGTGTAGCACAATGGCAACTCATGTTATTAGCTTAACTAATGTTGGAGCTGAAATTTGATATTATTGTCTTCTTGCGTATGAGGAGGTCGCATGCCAACGTAAGGTCCCATTAGACCCCTCGGCAGCGCATCAGCGTGACCAGAATGCTCGTTGAATGACTGGAATACCCGCCTACCTCCTCTAACCAACGAGGGAACAGGGGCATGAATATCAAGCAAAAAGCAAGGTGGACGGTCTGGCGTGGGCTCGAACATGGCAACTGGTGATAGAGAATATCTCTCTTTGGTGAGCAATAGTTACTACGGAGGTTCCCATTGCTGGTGCCCGCAGAGAGAGAAAACTTTCGCCAGTTTGAAAGGCATGTGCACATTTCTTGCAGAAAGTTATGCGGCTCTCGCAGCCGTCGTGGAGTTCTAATCCATGGCCGTTGGTCTCTGTGCGGGACTTAGCACGTGAAGACACCGACGGCGCTTTAGTTAGGGCAGAGGAGACAGTCAACGAGAAGTGGTTGTCAAGCGCACACGCTCTTCTCCTGCCCGTAACACAGGGGTGAGGCATTGACACAGTGACTATCTGCGAGCTGCCATACTTAGCGAAAAACACTCAGAGCGTCCGAAACGGAAGCCGTTTCCATGTGTGTGATTCTGTGTCCGAAAACCAGGCGAGTGTTCAGTGGAGAGACATTTTCGGCCTATCTCAATATTGCAAATGCATCGACTATTCAGGCAAACAACGTTAAGTTGCAAGTTCGTCTTACGCCGACTTTGGCCTACTCCCATGTGTAGTTAACATGAGAAGCAACATGTTGCGCTAACGGTGTTCCTTTGGACAGGTCGAATTCTTCCTCGGGAGTTCTCGGCATTTACTGTTCGACAATTCGGAGGATCCTGTCCGAAGCTTAAATCCTGAAGATTCCTTCGACTGTACAATCCAGCACCACATCGAGGAGTCGGGAACGTGCATGTAAGTTATTCCATCATCATCTAGAAGTCCCTTGGCAACGCCTGATGATTGTCGCACCTTTGAATGTGTGGGGTTTGCACGTGGGCGCGACCTAGGCTCGTCTGTTCCATCTCCCACTACATCGCTTCATCTGCGGAGCCCAAGTCGTTCAAGAAATCGTTCAGATTTACCGCTCAGAGTCCATTCAAGGTTGCGCACCGCATTACGCACCTGCAAGTACGATTATTCGAAATAGGCAAATTTATCCGAAGAATCGGAGAACAGTTTCCAGCTAGGAAAGCGTGTGCCCGCAGCGTGCATCTGTAAAGCGTTTGGCTCCTGCTCGTTTGCTCTCAGGACAAAGCTCTCGTTGAGTGCATGCTCACCAATGTTTCTCAGCAACTTGTATTCCTCAACGAGGCCTCCATAGTCTGTGCTGAGGGCTTAGAATGCACCCGCCTGGAGTGTGCTGCGCCTGCTGCCGAATCGTGAGTCACTGCGCCTACAGAGATTTGCTGATGGTTATTGCGAATCCGCATACTGCGAAGGATTCGCGTTTCGCAAAGAATTTATTGTGCTGCAAGTGCAGAGATACCACACTAGCGGCTTTCCGTTCGGAAGAAGATTGACGGATGTCAGGTTGTGCAATCTCTTCCATGTTCGCAGCTTCTGCAAGGGAATTCACAACCTTCGGCCCAAGGATTGTTGCGCCGTGCTGTTCTCGGTCTCTCCGGCAAACCCTCAATCACGTCTAGAAAACTTGCCAAAGGCAAGCGTAGATAAGCAGCGCATTCGTGGCACTCATGAGTGGCATTCATAAGTAGCAGTTGATATGGTACGTGGTCGAGGAAAGTTACTTTTTGAGTGGTTTGCTAAGCCCCATTCATCCGTTCTGCCGCAGCAAATTCCAAATCTGGGTACGCTAACACTTCAGTGGCGCACAGCGACGGGAGGCGTTGGAACACTAGGCGACTATGAGCTGATGAATGTGCCCGAGCAAACGCAGGCGCTTGAATTGCGGCTGGTGTCATTCCCGCCTTCTGTCGAGGTATGTTAAGAGGAGGACAAGAAACGGCTCGAGCATTAGGGCAGTTACTAGGCGCCTGGATGCCAATTCGTGAAGATGCTGCCTTGCGTGTGGTGTAGGTTGATCGTCCATTCACTGTGGAGCTGGAGGCCATCAACAGGCTGCATACAGGCTTGCAACTCATGCTCAGTATTAAAGTGTCGGAACTCGAGCCTTTTGTTCTAGAAGGCCCAAGACAGTTGGTAACTAAGCACGCCGCTCTCCAGCAATGTTCATAACACTGTATCCCTTCGTTTGCGGTGAGTTACCCTTGCTCTTCTGCTGCTCTGCGCAGACTCTTGGGCCCCTCGGTCCCCGGTCTTCAAAGAAATTCTCCTTTGAAATGCTTTGCCTTCAACCAGGTGTGTTGCTGCGTTTCGTTCGTTACTTCTCACGTCTACTCCGACTTCTTGTTGACTGCAGAGACTGCCTCTCAATCAGGAACTGCCAAACTGCTGTACTCAGTTTGCGCTACTTCGTGTGCGTTTATCCTGCTGTCACAGGATTCCATTCGTTGAGAGGAATTCAGATCTACGACTCCACCACCCAGCAGCGGACAGGCGTCAGCCCGCCTTGTCACATTCTGGCGTTTTAGAACATTCCGAAACCTCAGGCTGTGTGTTTTCAATTTACTCACGCATGGGATACCGGCACATGCTTCAGGATGGCGGATGCCTCTGCCTGGTCTCTATACGCGATAAAACAAAAGACGCGTAGAGGGATTAGATTCGCCGCATAGTAGCCCAACGATGCTTGCAAACTATCAACTTCGCTCTGGACTAGTGGGGCAATCAGTAAACAACCAACAAATATGTCGAAATGCTTTTAAAGTTTTGCAATGTGCGCAAACACTGTCATTACTGTCAAGTTGCACGACTGCTCATTACCTGCGCTACCCATCGAAAAGCACATGGCATTCGCTCATGGCTCACGGGTACAACTCTATATGCTGAGCGGGGTTGAGTAATCTTCATCTCCCGAATTATCGGTGACCTTCCCTATCAAGGACCAGTGCCCCGCTGCTTCATCCTCCAGTGCCTACGTAAGCAGAAGAGCTTCAAGAGACGGCAACGTGTGTATTGTGCATTATATTTCACCGTCAGTTTCAGTTCACTTTGAGACGCATACCTGTACCCGCATATCGTGTTCCTTCTGTGCTGCGTCCTTGAGTTTCATGCTGACAGCTAACAGGCGCGCGCGTTGTCGGAAAATCTCTGACCCCCAAACGTGATCTCTCTGCTCTTCACGCTCTGCGGGGGCGAGAAGAGCGGGCTCTGCTGCCTCTAACGCCTGCGAAGAACATACTAGCCACCTAGTGCATGATCCACCCCCAGAATGCTTTAACTTGCAAGCTTGTTCTTGACTAGGACAGGCAGTATTGCGGACCTTGTACAGATCATACAGTGACGTGTTGGCAATCTGAGCGGAGGTGTATATCTGAGCGGCGCGGAGAGCAGCTGCACGTCCCGGAGTCATGCCTTCGAGCTGAAGGAGCTGTTGTAAGGCAGCTGCGCCCCCATCTTCTTCAGTGCTCCTAGCTTCGTTGTTCTCTCTGCACCGACGAGAAGAGTCTGCCAAGGCAGAAGCTAGCGCTCCAACAGGAGAACAGGCAAGCTTAAGCCTGCCTGCCAGCTCGAAACAAATCTCCGATAACGCCGCCCTGAAAATCGGACAGCCGAAACCGCGCGGCGATTTTGTCTTCGGTAGCTAGAGCTCTGACATATTCTCGCGCATGTAAAATAGCTGCACGCTACTGAACTGTTCTCAAGCGCCAACCATTGTCCCGCACTACCCTCAAACGCTAACGGTACCAGCGGTGCGCACTCTTGAGGGCGAAGCATGCGCAAGAACGAGGCAACGGTGGCCGCGATGAGCGCTCCCTGTGTTGCGCAAGCCATTAGTGCACTTCGCGAAATACCGAACCTGTAAAATCGCATCTTGCAGCTGCCGTTGCAATGCGCGTTTCGCCATCATTTTATTCATACACTGTGGCACGATAGTGCGCCGTCGGGTAATCTGTAGTCTGCCCTGCCTCGCTCACTTGCCTGCGCGCGGTAGTCTCGTAAGTTTCACCTTCTCGATACACGTCGTGCAACACAAGGGCAAAGAAGAAGCGCCGGTGGGTTTCTAGCTCCACGCGTGCTCGGAGCTGGGAAAAATTAAGCCTGAGAACAGTCCAAAGTATTAGAATTCCAATCGCAAGACCGTCAGTTTCCGTTGAGATCTCCCAAAGGAGAAGTAACAGTCTCAGCATCAGGGGACGTGCCCGGGGAGGAGCGGAACTGACTGCTCGAGAAGTAGAAGCTCTGCAGTGTCGTTGACGCAGCGTCGAGGTGCTCCTTGTGCCCTTATGGCCTCTCTGGAAATGACCAGCCGACGAATGCCTAGCACGTCGGCGACCCGCCTGAACACATCAGTCCATACTAAGAATTCGCCAAGCACTACCTCAGAGAAGGCCTCACAGAGCCTAGCAGGACAGGCGCCTCAAACATGCGCAAAAAATGCAAAACCTAGGGAAGGAACGACGCAGAGCCAGACCTGCAAGGCGGGTCAAGCTTGTCGTAGACAGCGAGGTACGACTGCCAGTGCGGCTGCATTTCGCCTCCCATTGAGACGGCCGCAAGAAATATAAGGTGTAGTTCCGTGTCCGCGCAGAGGCCTGTGGCACACAAACTGCCAGAACCCACGATATAGTCTTCCTTCGTGCTGAAGATATGCACTTCTGGGAGGAGCACCAAATGCACATCTTGGTACGAGAATTTGTGGTTTCCACTTGCAGAGGGTATGGCGACTCTAACCCAAAACACTCGTCTTGAAAATGTCTGCAAATAATTCAGCTGCTTCCCATGGCGCTATGCCGGCCTCGACTGCTGCGCCTCCGACCTCTGTTACTGCAATCCGTCCCCCTACGTCTCTCCAGTTCGATCCTCTCCCTTCAGGTTCAGTCATCCCCAAGCCATCAACAGGGCTCCCACACCCGCTTAACTGCGCAGCTAACGCCTTAAGACCACGGAAATGAAGGCAAATGGTCGAACCAAAAGCGTCGTCGGCGGGGGCAGACAGTGTCTGATGAGTCTGGCCAATGCTCACACCCTTCAGCCGGGGAGTAGCTGACGAACAGACGCCGAAAACCGGTGTGACACCGTCGAAACCCTTGTCATCGAGGTCAGGAGGGACGTCCAACGTGCCGGAAAATCTCTCTGCGGGCATCCTGCTTATGTCGCATCCTTGCAGCATCCGTGCCACGACTGCAGGTGAGCGGAGACAGGGATATTGCTCCAACAACAACTTGCAGTTAGCCGGCAAGCAAGGGGAGGGGAAAGCTAGGGAGCGCAGTGGGTTCCTGCACTTGCCAGGGGCGGCCGTTGCAGCATTGACGGGCTGCCCTGACCCATTGGCAAACTCGGGTTTTGTCTCTGCTCCTGCAGCAACTCCGAATGCTAGGCCTCGTGCAGATGCCGAAAAGCCAGAGGAGCCCTTGACGCCAGTTGGTCCATCACTCTGCCAGGAGGGTGATGTGCCTCCAGGTTCAGCTTCAACCAGGTAATACGAGTGCAGGTGACGGGCAACCTCTGTGGCTTCTTCCACGAGCATCCCGTGCGGATCCTGCGACAAAGGGCAATAGCATGGAACTACATGGTGGGTTTGCCTCCATGCAGTTCTTACAAGCACGGCCTTTTGACAAACTTCTCCATCTAAAAGGCCTAGAACAGCATTACAACAACATACAATGCTTAAAAGGCCGTCAGTTGTACCTGAAGGCCTCGAAGGGTGCACTTCAGCAAAATAGCAGCCACATCGACGAATGCGCCGCTTGCTGCACGACGGGAAGTCTCCCGGGAGTGACGGACTAAAGGCAGGAGCACGTGCACAGCCTCAAGGAAGAAACGACAGAGATTCTGCCCCTTTAAGCGTGAGCTCGTTTCTGTACGGCCTTCGTTAGTCTCAGAGCCACCACTGCCGGATGCATCCGCTGCAGCGACTTCCACTAAGAGCTTCCGAACAAGTGGCAAAGTGGCAGAGGAGCAAATCAAGTACGCGTCTCCCCTGCAAAGAAATGCGAGAAGGCCAAATAAAATCGAAGCGATCGATGGCTGAATAGACCCAAGGTGCCCTTTAACTCCTTAATATCGCTTATTACATTAGTATTACCTTACTCCCTGCCTTGCAGCGCCCTTGCCTACTGCTGGCGCTTGTCCCGCCATTCAAACGAGAAAGCCAGGAGAACCTTCGGGGCTGTGATCTGCTAACCAAAATAATATGCTGCCCAAACAGAAGCTGGATCCTAACTGACAGGGCGGTCGCGGTGTGCTGGTCCAGCCGAGTTCCGGCTGCTCGCGGGAGTGTCTTACCGGTGTTCAAGTCCCTTTCGACCCGCGCGACCAGCCATCTGGTGGAAGCGTCCGGGAGACAAAAGTTCATCTCTTCCGAACTGAAATTCAAGAAACCACACAGCCACATGAAAGCGATGCATCTCTGAACTTAGTGGACACCAAAGACAGAGCGCAGGCGTGCCACCGGAGGCCGAAACAAAATGTTTCCGCCGAGGCAAAGGAGACCCGAATAGCGGAGTGATTTCTCGTCAGCTCCGTCAATAACGGCGATTGCCAAGAATCCATTGACGACATGTCTGGACGTACGTGCGGCGCCCGAATTATGACGCGAGCAGCCGGTAAATTGACGCCAAGGGCAAGCGTCGACGTTGCGCACAATACATTCAAGTGGCCGCTGCGGTATCCCGCCTCCAGCAACGCCCTCTCCTCGCCGGTCAAGCCTAATATACGAAGAACGTACCACTGGCCACACATGACCGCTTGCACTCGCCAAAAACCTACCAAGGAACTCAGGACTTGTACAGCCATGAGGCGATAGGAGTAGAGGGAAGGGTTGACGCCAAAAGCCTAAATCTCGAAGCAGAACCACGTCCGCGCACAACACACGAAAGGCGCATGCAAGCAACAAGCAAAACGAAACTCACCGGCATGATGGTACGCAACCCCCTCGAGAACTGCCGCCAGCATAGTTGTTGAGTGAACAAGGGAAAGTTCTTTGAGTTGCCATTGCAACTCTTCGCGCCCCTTGATCTTTTGCGGCTCAACAAACAGGTGAGGACTTTGCACCAACAACTGGGCAAGCATACTGATAGGCATGGCAAGAAGCTCCTTCATTGCTTCCCGTTGCGCCCGTTTCTGCTGTTGCAACTGATAGTTCATGCGCTCCTGTTGCAAATCTGGAGCGCTATGCTGGTCTTGACGATGCGATTGTAGCCTCCTTGAGCACTCGAACTCTTTGCTCTTGAGCAATGAAGCAGCTCGTTGTCTGACCAGATCAGCCCATGCCTCCGCCCGTCTGTAGAACGGCAGAACTCTGCAAGAAACGGAGGGAAAAGATGGCCATCTCCATCTACTTATCCATACCCCAGCGAGCAACAGAGAACGTCAGATATGAGTTGTGTCCCAACTTGTTTTCGTCAGTCAGAACATACACAGACGGGGCTCTAAAGTGCTGTATCCACTCACCTGGCGAGGAAGGATGCTGTGCGGGCTGTCCACTCCTGAGTCGGGCAAAAAATTATGACTCTGCGGCCTTCCCTTAGCATTTCCCAAGTCAGCATCCCCAGATGCTCAGCATCTGCCTGCCACCCACAGCGGATTTCTTCTGCGGGAGCGTTTTTTAACTCTCCAACCGATTCAACTCCGCCTTTTGTACGCGAGGGTGTTTGCGGGGAGGCATCGGCTTGCTCTCTTATAAAGCGCAGAGCTGCAGCAGCAATGGAGGCATGATCTGCGATCATCTCCGCACTGGCTGTGAGCTCTGCAGTGGCAGGTAATGGTCCCGTTGCAACAGGGGTATACTGAGAAGCAGCCAATCGCAATGCCCGGGCTGCAGCGCTTGTTGCCGCCTCCCCGACTGGGGGCAAAGAAAGAGACCCGTCGTGGAGCTTGCGGGCAAGCTGCAATCCTGCCCCCCTGTCCCATGAAAACACCTACAACAGGCAGCCAGTGACAGAAGCACGCGTAGGGCGTCGCACTCATAAATCGCGAAGGCTCCCACCTCAACCTAATGTGCTGCATCTATACATGCACCCGGATATGTATGCATAATTCAGGAAACGTTTCCCGGGAACTCGGTAACTTTTCGTATACCCAACGTGCTCACCTCCATCCTACATTACATATGTACATCCACGATTAATACATAAATACGAGCAGTCGTAGATATTGGTAGTCGTGTACGCGTACGTATAGAAGAAGGGAAATGCATCACGCACTCGACTAAGTGCCACTGCAAGTTTTGGTGACGTGCTGGTGGCAACAGCAAGTGAGTGTTCAAAGCACCTCTGGTCCAACCTTAACGAAGATGTCGAGAGGGGAGGGACGCTCATCCGTCACGAACAACTCTGCATCAAGCCATTTTGCAACCTGAGCAGATCAGAACGCCCCGAGAGGCGCAAACCGCTACAACACAGCATGTGAAGCTGCCGCCGACTCCACATCGGGGAATCAGCTGGTAACATATCAACGGGGTGAATTGGTGGCATACTTGCTTGGCATTTGGGAGGGTGGCTGACATGCCAACTAACTGAATAGGTCTCTTGAGGGTTCGGTTGAGGAATATCAGCTTCGCTAGAAAAATTTCAAGGATATGGCCCCTCTGAGGATCTCCAACGAAATGAAGTTCATCGACACAAACCAGACCAAGGGGAAAGTGCTCCCCAACGACAGGCAAGCGGCAACGCACACTGTCCCACCACTGGCTTGCCCAGGAACAACTCTCATCCAACGTGCGACAGTTGTTCCTCTCAGGCAGCTCGCATCTAGCAGGCGCCTCCAGACTCTCATCAGCGCTTTCCGCCGTTGCAACTTCGGGAATCAACAAATCCAGCACCAATCTGCAGGAAAAGCTCAGAAGTGTTGCCACCTGGACTGAGTGATCAGGCAGGGGCCCAGAATAGTTCTTGTCACTACGGCAGTTAGCTCCTTCAGCCATACTCTGTGAGATCTAAGGGAATTGAGACTTTCCATGGAGTTTATGGTGCAAGCTGTGATGTGTTTCAGCGGTCGACATCCGCAGAGCTGCACCTGTTGATTATCATGTTTGCTTTCTCCACCGTGCAGACCGCCACATCTATTCCAGCGTACCAGTTCGACGCCGCATCTATCAAATCCACAACACAGAAAAACGATAATGGGATGTCCAAAGGAAATCTTGACGACACTCACGGCTTCTTAGGTCCTGCATCGTTACGTACGCGACAAAAGACACGCTGCTGTGCAATTGGTGAGTAAGGGCTCATGCAGCTTAGATGGCTTCTACTGGTGACTTCCCCAGCCTTGTTTGCATTCCCCGTGCATCGACGTGTGCGCGGCCTGCAGTCCCTATACTTACTGGCTCCCGCGTGGAAGGCCTCGATGCGCAGCGTCAACGGGCCCAGCAGCTGGCGCAGGTGCTGGACCTTTTCCGCACAGAGGGAGACGTGCGGCACCACCACCAGCGAACGCACGCCTTCGAACAAAAGACGTCTGCAACGCAAAACACAAAAAATACGTAAGGGCACCTTCCATATCCCACAATTGCCCCGCGAATTAGTGGCAATTTATTTGTGCGTTCTGGTCGAGGCTGCAAGGCTAAGCAGCTTCGTGTTCACCTCCCCACCGGGATATTAGCACTTCACCCACAAGACTCTTTCCGCCGGATGTGGGGGCACAGTACACCAAAGATCTCCACGGAGCAGCATCAGCTCCTGCAACAAGGGCGCAGTTAAGCGCCAAGGCAAGTTGCTGCAAAAAAGGTTATTCACCGCCCTACACTGCCTTCACCGCGTTGCAAACGTTTACGAAGGGTGGCCCGCCTCACCGTTTGTGCTAGACGTTTGACGCTTCCTGGGCAGCGCGAGATGCAGGCATTGGGCTTGCCACGGGTACAGATTAGTGACCCCAAGAGAGGCGTACGCCCTGCAACAATTGACTAGCGGCTGGCGTCAGAACGTTCAACGGTATCCGTTACTCGCAATGATTGTAAAGTACCTTTTTTTTCTAAAATCCCCTATTCCTGGCAACAAAGGCAACTCTGGTTAGATCTGCGACAGAAACTTGCCTTGTAAGTGGTGGTGGAAGGCACCAATACTGCAACTCCAGTTCACTGCTGCTCATGGATGCAAGGGCATAGGGAGGGATACTTTCTGGGACTTCAATACGACTTCTTCTACCGCGTCCTGCACAGAATGTTACAGCCAAAAGCACTGTTTACAAGACCAAAGCCTGATTACTGCTGCCTTCACGTAACTCGTTTGGGAGGCTGCTGCAGTCAATTTCTCGGAGAAGATCATCTCCCCATCAACATGCCTACCCAGCGTCAGAAGCGGATGGAGCACGGATGGAGCTCCTACGCGGCATATATTCGATAACTATCCAGCATGGCAAATGCACATAAATCATACATCCTTGCATGGATCCGGAATAGATGATTAAACACCACCAACGCTTTGCTGTGGGCCCGGTATCCTCCGTAAGCACAACGATCACACAAATGCACTAAATCTTGACCCCCTTGCAGACGACAAAAACGTTTTGCTTGCCCAGGACTCCCGCATACACAAAAAATCCCCAATACAAAGCCACTAGTTCCCACTGACGTGACAAGTGTGTACACAGGAAGTAATCATCCCACGAGAAAACAATAAACTGCAGACCTCGGTAAGGTGCTCTAGATGCTAAGTGCAATTTCCCCTACGGTAAGCTACTTGAGTACTTTGTTATGGGCTTCGGATGCAAACGATATCAGACGACAGAAACGTTTTGCCTGCCCAGGAGCATGTATGAACGCACCAGAGGAGATACGCCTTTGACAAAGCGCAAGTAATTGCACACTGGCGTTCAAGCAAACGCTAATAAAAGCGCTCGCAAGCAGGTGATTCAAAAAATAAACTCCAATAGGTAGTTATGTGTGCATGAGCACAAACCGATGCATACTTAAACATACAACCACTGGGCGTACGCGTTCACCGGCATGCGCGTACACTTCCCACCCTCATACCTGCTGTAACGGTGTTCTTAGAAACATAGTTTTGTGTACCTACCACGGATACCTGCGGCGGCAAGAATTGCTTCATCTCGCTGGGCAGCACTGTAGCTGTGAGGCTGAATGGATCGCGCGCAGAGAAAGACCAAAACCGAACAGACGTTCACCCTCTCACTTCATAGCTGCCGTTAGGTCGCGAAATAGTGGAGTTGAACGCTCAATTCTTGCCCAGGTGGAGATAACATATGGAACATTTCTCAGAAGCAGGTACTCCAAACTAACGGTGGTCATAAACTGACGGAGTGAGAGTGTTGTAGTACCTTGGCGACAATCTCGCCTCCAAGTGTCACGAAAACGGGCGTTCCTGTGTCCCCTCCATCGCGCACTCGCCGCCAAACACCAATCCTAAAGATCGGAGATAGCAGAAACAGCAAGCACCCTAACACACACAAGTCAGCGTACGTATCCGCCAAACCACGAAAAGTCATCAGCGATTGCTGCGCGCGCAGCATTAGTGCTGCGCGCGCAGAAACAAGTGCCTCCATCAACACTGAAAGGAAATGCAACGCTTCACGGTACCTCCTCTGAGGAGTTATTCCTGGTGGTGGAGGTTTGGTTGGCCGAGGTAGGGGCCGGCGCTGAGCTCTGGCAGCTCCTGGGAGGAGCCATGTCAGTGATGGCCGGTCCTTCCGTTGTACGAAGCTGTCCTTTTTCCTGCTCTTCCTGCTCCCCTCTTGGCCATTCTGTGTTATGCGCTGCTTCCTCTTCCGCGTCGGCCGTTTTGAAGCGGCGGTCAAAGGCTTGTCATCCTGTGAGTCCATTAGCAGAGTTGCAGCGAGACCAAAGGCCCCTAGAGCGCAACCTCTCCCAGCCCACCAGAGACTCTAGACGCCTTTGTGTGGCCTGTAATACAATTCATTTTCTGTAGGAGGTCAGAGTGCTTCTTCAGGCCGTACTCCTACACGCTGTGTGCATAGCCGCATGTGGCATCGACCCAACCGTTTGAATACCGAATGAACGGGAGGAAAAGCGCGGAAACGCCCATCATAGTTCATCGTCACAAAAAATACCCTCAAATGATTAACATTAGCTATAGTTACCTTAAATGCTCAAAGGGGAGGCCCAGCAGCGCCTCCAGGATAGTTTGGGTAGAGGGGGCCCCCAAGGGATCAAGCAGGGATTGTTGTTGGAGGGTTTGGTAAAGTTCGCCGAGGAAAGGAAGACAGCGTCCTGTTTTTTAGTCCTCATCATAAGGTTCTTAGTTTCTTTCGATGCAGGGTTTAGACAGGCTTCATGTGTGTTTAGCTCTCCTCGATGCCGATTGTGTTCTAGTCCTGCGTCCTTGCAGTGACTGGGCCGATATCTAGGGAAGTAGAGGAGCGTCCAGCACAGGGCTAAACTCACTGATGACTATTTCAGAATGAATTTGAATTAAGGCAGTTCTATCTATGATCAGGCCATCCCCAATTTCGCGATTTTGGGGCAAGTGGTTGTCTGGGCGAGCCTTACGGGTGCCTCGCTGTCGCATTGCAAGGACAGCGCCATCAGCCATCTTCTTTTGAAATTTGAAGACTGTTCATACAATGAGAGACCTAGAGGGTGGTTTTTGTTCCGGCTACGAGAGAGTTGAGCACATGGCGGTGGAGTGGAGGGGTCTGAGTGGGGAGCCACACAAAGAGCATAAGACAGTAAGTTCGGCATCGCACTCGTTGAAAAGGATCTTCCTAATGGCGCAGGACCATCCTTCCGTTCACGACGTGGTGTGTCTAATGAAGCCTGCGCTTTCAGGCGGCCAGTGGTGTCGACCGGGTTGGCGATTTCTCCAGCAGACAGCGCACGTTTACAGATGAACAGCTAGCCGCTGCGAAAGCCGCAGTTCATCTGGGTACCGAAGAGGGATTAAGGCAGGTGAGGTGCTGGTCAGAGTTCGCAGTTCGCAAGTTTCTCACAGATGTAGCGCGTTAACTATGCCCGAGGTCTTCCTCTTTCTGTCTGGTGTCCAATTCTGCGTTTCAGGGATTCGCCCAGTTTGAGATAATCCTAGACGAAGTATCTTGCACTCTTCCACGTACGAGCTTTTTTGCTCGTGTGCCCCTGCTATCCTCGCTGAAGCGGACAAACTGGAAGGAATTTTTGCGGACAGGGCAGCTCGTTCATCTCGACACGAAGCCGCTGCAACCCATTCTTCACCCATTGTCAGCTGTTATTCGATCTGGTGAGCCCTTTTTTCAGCACAGGCCAGTTTACGGTTGCCAGTATAGCTGCCTACTGACCTCGCTTGCTCCTGACTGCACTTGTGCCCTTCCCTGCAGTAGCGCTTTGCGAACATGCACGGCAGTAGCGAACCTCCTCTCCTGCGCAGGGTCACTTGTAGCCATCATGGGGCCAAGTGGCTGTGGAAAGACAACTCTGATGGGTATCCTTTCTGGGCGGGCTAGCTTGGCGCACTCTGGCCGAGTTGCCTTCAACGGAAAGCCTCCGACAAAAGAATTTGATCGCGTGAGTGCATTTCTAGTTGTAAAGGATTGAACGGCAAGGAAACAATAACTGCTGAGTTACTGGAACGTGTGTGATTTTCCCGCGTACCATTACTTGCTGCATTATACAATAGTTAACCGTAATGGTATCCCGCACCTAGATTCCCAGCAACGTTGGGAATTGTTTTGTAAAGCCTTTTCCTGCCTGCAGTTTTCGTCATACGTCACCCAAGACGACATCTTTGATGGCAACGAGAAAGTTGTGGAATGCCTCCAGTTTTCCTACAGACTCCGTACTGCAGTTCCGCGCAGCTGGGGGCCCGAAAAGAGGCGAGCCCAAGAGCGCGAAGCCGTACAGCGAACCCTCAACCTGTTGGGTCTGGATGAGGTGCAAACAAACAACGTAGGCAGCACCACACATCGCGGGATATCTGGAGGCCAGAAACGGCGGCTGACGCTTGGCATTGGTAAGCTGGCCACTTTTTAGCGTGTCGTTACCTATTGACTGCTATGATTGTGGTGAACGGGAGATGCCAGTTGATGCCGTTTTGGAGGGTCAGGCAACTCAGGTTTGGGTGCACTGCCCCTATATCCACTTCTCTGTTTTGTGAGTGAAGCTCATTGCTGCAGCATTTGTGCTGTCAGTATCATTCAGGCCTGATGAGCGACGCAAAGATCTTGCTGTGCGACGAGCCAACCACTGGTCTGTCCACTGCAGATGCGCAGCTGGTCGTGGATGCCCTCCGTCGGCTTTGTGTAGAATGCGGCATGGCGGTGGTGGCGGTGATTCACCAGCCGTCTCACGCGATAATGCGCTGCTTCGACCATTTGTTGCTGCTGAGCCATGAAGGCCGTTGTGTCTACAACGGCTGTGTGGATGCGGCGCTGCAGTACTTCAGCGCATTGGGGTTCCCTTGTCCCACCCACCAAAACCCTGCAGACTTATACTTAGACCTCGTCTCACAGGGTAGCAAGCATGCTGGCGAACTCGCAGACCTGTACGACGCCCTCATGAAGCCAATGGTGCAGTCCAAAGTGCGCCGTTCCTACGAATGCCCGCCGTCGACACCGGAGGACATGGTTTGTCTGCAACACCTTCAACAAAGGCGTCTCTGTCAGCCTTAAGCAGCACTCATGCCAGCATCATCACCTTTTTTCCTAGCTGGCATTGGTGTGGAGAAGTCTCCGAGTTGACTGCCAGGGTGTGGGTACGACGGTGTTGTTTGCAGGTGGGCGAATTGGAATTGGCGGGGCCCTATGTGCAGTTCAGAGAGGTTGGAAGACGCGCACTCCGGTTGTGGTTAAGGAGTCATTCTACTCTGGCTGCGATCATGGGCGACTCGATTGTTCAAGGGCTGGTGATTGGGGCTATATTCTTTGGTGTCCGCAGCCGTGCGTCCGTATATTACCAGCTGTCCGCCCTTTTTTTGATGCTGCTGAGCCATCTGGCCTCGTCTCTGTGGACAGTGCCGCTGTACGTCCAACAGAAGGCACAGTATCGCGTTGAAGTTGAGGATGGTTACTATTCCCCCGTGCCGTATATGTTTGCTACATCCTTGGTAGCTAATGCTTTTGTGTTGTTGGGCGACGCGGTGCTCGTCACGATTATGTGGCTCTTATTTGGGTTTCCATTTCTGCCTCTGTTGGTGTGTTATCTCGTTGGGTCGCTAGGATTCGTCATTTGTGACTCGTTGACTGCCATCTGTTCCTTGGCGAGCACATCCTTTGCAGAGGCAAATGCCTGTGCGACTCTCTTGTTCATGTTGCTGATGTTTGTCAATGGCTTCACAACCAATCCAGCGTCGCTGCCTCATGGGATAGCATGGATGTCTTATTTAAGCCCTTTTTTCTTGGTTTTTGAGGGCTTGGCCATCTGCATCCTGGAGACCTATGAGTTTCGAGAAGACTCTGCTGAGGCCAGTAGTAGTCTCCTGCTGCAGACGAAGGAAGATGTGTACCAAACGTTTGGCATCGCAGGTCGTGCCTACGGCCACAAAGGCAGCGCTCTTGAGTGGCTCTGGGCGGTTGATGCTGTACTGCTTCTGGTCCTCATGGTTCTCTCAAAGGCTCTTGTTTTCACCTTGCAAGCCACTATGTTCTTGCCCAGGCGTCACAGGGACAACCCTGCACCCAGATGTAGATTTTCCTTTCTTTCCTCTAAGTCGTGGCTGGCTAAGTTTCGAAGACCGTAAGCAGTCAGCCGCATCATTTTGTCGTCTCTCGCATGCCAGGTGTCAGAGGATGCTGCTCTGTCCAGCTCCAAATCGCAGCAGGTCGCAAGCGTTCGAAGTGGGCAGAGGTGCTGGAGTGGCGTGGACCAACTCATCCATAAAGTTGCCTTTCGGTTTTAAACACAGCATAGCGGCTCCCTGCAAAAGGTGGGTTGTTTGTCGTGTGCCGGCTACTCTTCTTTCGTGCTTCCTTTAGGGGCCGCATTGAAGAGTAGAAGGGAGAGAAAAACCTAGTGCGTGGAAGAGCATTAGAGAGAGGCTCATATGAATGCAACGTCCTGCACGGAGTCAAAATCACCGAACAAAATTAGAGCACCCGCTTAGTACGCTCTCTTCCCCGTGCCTTGTCCAGAGACACTAGGTGTAATTGGTGAAGCAACCCACGAGAAGTGCTTATTTGCATAAGTAACGCGTTCGTCAGCAAACTAGAGCTTCTGTTTGTAGCCTAGAGTCTTCTCGTGTCTCCCTTGTTTTCTGGTCCTTTTTTTGAGCTGGTATGCCGCCGCAACAGCACAACTTCGTCGCCGCGTTGCAGTCGCCTAGTGGACGGGCCACCAGCTATCGCCGTTGAGTAGCCGAGGGACTCACCAATCCACGTGAAAGAAAGCTGCTGGGAGTCACTGTGCATTAGGCCCCACCGACATAGTCCCATTATGCACAGTGGCAATAATGTAGCTGCAAAGATCGGCTGGAGCTTGCGGCAATCGGTAGCTCCTCTAGAAAGCGGAAAAGTGTCACTGCAGTCAACGGGGGTAATGCCCACCGACTCGAGTTCTAGAAGGGCATGAAGTTAAGTCCTGCTGAACGAGCCTAAGCACGGTATGCTTTGCGTAAGCACAGTACCCTTTTCATCCTGCGGAATTGCAGCATCTCCCGCGGCTCATAACTCCCCCACTTTTCCCAAGGACTTTTCCCGAGGCTAGCAAGCCCCTACACTCGCAAAATTTTAATTTTGGTAGTGGACAGTGCAGTAATTACTCGTGAACAATTCGGCTTGAACGTGCTACTTCAGGTGGCAGTGCTTATATTGTTGTCAGTTTCGCCGAGCGCATCGCTGCACAGGTTCTCCTCTGGATGCGGAGATTCTGTTCGGTTCAGCTGCCTTGCTGAACTAGTGGTTGAGGCAACTACTTTATACCCCAATGGCATCCAGATACATGTTCCCCAATTAATAATTTTCAGTTTCTACCCATCCGGATGCGAAAAAAACTCGGACGAGATAGCTATTCATATTCTTGCACAGCCATTCACTACTAGTGCTCTGCGCTCATGATTTTCGCCTACGCGACGAAATGTGATACTTGGCAGGAGCGCACTACCGCCCGCGGCATTAATACCGCGTCGTAAATAAAACACTATATCATAAAATAGGCAGATACAGAGAAAGCCTCACCTGCGTTTCCACAAAAGAGGCGAGAGGCATGCTGACTCGCTGGCTCGGATGCGCTTCCTTTATATACGCTCGCATCAAGCCACGTATTCTGCGCTACGCCATTTGATCAATGCACTCGACGAAATCTTCTTCTGTCATCGCAAGCGAGCCGCATCTGACTGCTGCGCTTGCAACGTCCTTTCCTCCAGCGTAGCGGTGATCCATGTACGCGGCGTATGCAAAGGGAGAACGCCCAACAGCGTCTGCTACTTGAAGAGCGGTGGAGCCATCAATGCATCGGAGGCCGCCGGGAGCGGACTGGTTTCCCCGTCCTGCTCCTACATCTGCCACAAATGACTGGGGAGGCTTTGCACACCTCAAGAAAGGCCTGAAGGTGCCTTGAAAGGACGATTCAAATTTGAACGCTGGATCTTCCCTACCAAACCCCGAGTTCCCGACAAACCCGTACAGGGGTAAATGGTACTGTGTGTAGTCTGCTAAGGCATAAGCGCCTAGCGCAACGCCTTGGCTTCTGCGTCCCCCATATTTCTGGGTCTGCTCATGACTGTCTTTGAGTGCATCGAACAGTAAAACGCGCATTGTTGGGTTGTTTCCATTCTGGGGGGATACTGAAGGGATGGTGAGAAGAGCCGTGGGCAAGTTGGGCTGGCGAGGGTTGCAACGGGGTCCTGCAGTTGCAGCGGCCTTCCAAGCTTGCGTACCTTTGGGAGCGAGGGCTATCAGCGTTCCCTCATGCTGATGCCCATACAGTTGGGCAACAATCACATCTGAATAGGACGCGATTATATCCCTGTACCTGCAGTGCGCAACGGAGACGCATAAGCGGGTTATGTCCTGTCACGTTTAGGCTTCCTAACAAGTGTTAGGCAGTAGACTCCCAAATTTTATCCTTACTTACGTGGCAGCATATTTACCCTCCCAATTGCCGCGAAAAGATGATACTTCGCCCAACCGCACGCTCAGTGCAGGCATGATGTGTCCACATATTATGACCTGAGATCCAGAGGCACGCCTTAACATTCCCTATTCCATTTCATCGCTATCAGAATTCTGAAAAACTCTACCACATTAGGAAACGCCTGGCAGTGTCAATGGTGGACCATGCCTCTATGCAGCCAGCACCAGATCTACGCGTGAACGTTTTGTTCGTAGTCATGCGGCTACCGTTCGTACTCGTTGTCCTCGTGTTCGCGCATTCTGAAGCTCTGCCGCCATCCACTCTAATTGCCCCGCTGCAGCAAATCAACCACATGAAAAGCTGCAGAATTTAACACGAATAGTTGAAGCATTGTTCCTCTACAAGGATGTGGAAGAAGGCATGAGGAGAAGCTTAAAAAAGTCCTGCTGACCTGGGTCAGCTTCTTCCGCTGCATCCTCTTCGGCGGTGTGGAGCGATGCAACAGCTTTCTCTCCATTGCTTTCGTCCCTCTCCGATTTGAGAAGAGCTTTCGCAGTTCTTCGCAGCTTTACAGCATATAAATTCGTGTTCAGGCAAAGCACGCGTATTTGTGGTGCTACTCTCAAGTTCGTAGCATAATACATCCCACGCAGGAAAGTCTGCAGAGCACAGGTGCTGCAGTGGAGAATGCTAGTGAAGCTGTGAGTAAACAAAATAGCTACACAACTATTGGGAATCGCTCGTATTTCTCGTTAGAAGGCCCTCCTGTGAAGCACTGGGAGGGGTGCAAGGGGTGGCTACCTGTTTCACGAAAAACCCACCTTACGAGTTTTCTCTCCTCCTGGAAGTGCTGGCTTCCAGATACCGTACAGGAATTTTGCCCACAATGTACGCTGCGGAGGGAGGAGGGCATTCGCTGGGAAATCGTGGTTCCCCACGACTAGCAGGAGTTGTATTCCTTCCGCCGCGCTAACTTGGCTGTGCCCGTTCCGTAAGGCCGTGGACTGCTGCGGAAATTTCTCGAAGAGGCCGGCAGTGAATTCTCTTAGAGTGTCTTCCCTGCAGATGCAGGCGTTTGTAACACCCCTAGCAATAGGCTTGGCTGACTCGGTGGGAAGTCGAAACTAGTTGATGGATGATTCGAAGCTGTTCCCAAAAACTTATTTTTCGCAGTGACATCTCATCTACAGCCACATCCATGTCCACTATTTAAAGCTTGAAAAAACTAATAAGGGGGGGTGGTTGGATAAAGGGTTTGCCAAGAAGCATAATGCAGGTGCTTTCGGGGGGAGCTTACAGAAAATTTGGAGCATGGTTCTTCCGGGAATGCGCATAATCCCCTGTGAGCAAAATCGTGGTAATGGGCGGCAAAGGGTATTGAAGAAAGGCGGCTTCCGCCGCCGAAGAAGCTGTAGAGGATGCAGTGGGGTGGCCAGCAGTTGCTGCTGCATGGCTTTGGGCCACGAGACCGCCCAAAAAGTCGAGGGTTTCACCGAACAACCTGGGAGAAGAACCACTTCCCGCAACTCCTAAGGCAGGGCAGGTTTCCATTTCGAGGTATTTCCTTCCAGGGGCGCCGGGGGTTTGGGTCAGCGCCTTTCCTTCCTGCGCCACCATGGAGGAATGCGGCTGCAAATGTACGTCCGAAACCCACGCAATAGCCAGCTGACTGAAGGGCTTTTCGGTGGCTAGATCTCCGAAATATGCTCCGTCACCCAAAGCTGCATGGAGAGTAGCAAATCCGTATATGCACGTTACCAAGCATATAAGCTTCGGTGACCCCCATTTCATATTTGGCAAAGCACTCGCCATCGTATGGCCCCACATGAAATAGATAATGCACTTAGTATCACCTAAACTCCAGTAGTTCCTCGAGTGTAGCTTTCCCCGCAATTCGAAGCTGCAATGTTCGAAGTCGCAACGCGATGAATTGTGTGGGCTGCTGGCAAGCAACTCGGCGGCTACGGGGGGCCGGGACTAGGTAATTTTTAACCCAGAATATATCCTATATAAAGAAGCCCACAAGCAACTGGCTAAGCACAAAGGCTCACTGGCCCCCAGAAAAATGCAGGATTGTGTTACTACACGGGGTTGAACAACCGAGGGGACAGGGCTTTGCAAAGGGAAGGTATCTTAGATTCAATGGGTGCAACTACACACCAATGGCTTTTTGTGTCCCTAATTGCTCTGTACTTTGCTGTTTGAGCGAAAAATCGTTTTTAGAACTGCGCAGGCGTTCTCGGCAGGTACTGGCGATGAGGCATGCTAGGGAAGTTGGACACCCAAGTGACTTCACGCCGTACATTTCCCTTAGTCTTCTCTCCTTCTATTTGAATTCTTAGCATCAGAGTGCTATTTTTGTTTTTATGCTGCCCGTACAGGCGTGTGGTTTGCCAGGTTTCGAGGGTCATCAGCGCCTGCCCACATGAGTGAGGATGCGTTCACACCCGCTCCTGTTGTATCGAGCTAATTCACGCTCTATCGATCGTATTCGTTGATTCGAGAAATTTTTCAACCACATAAAGGCGAATTCGGTGGTTAGACCTCAATAGTTGGTACTGCATTTCTCTTGCCGAAGTCATGATCGTAGAATGGTCTATCTCGTACGGTTCGTATGAAGTGGGTGTTACGCGAGCGCAGGCTGGTTACTGTGGGCCAAGTAATTATTTG